GACCTACAAAGAATGCCACTCTGTGGGCATGCCACGAGACAAGTGATGGTGTATGATGTCATTCTTCAAGAGCAATCTGTGCTATGAGTTCTCTTCTTGAGGCAACTTTGATGACGATGCTAACTTAAAATGGGATTTGGAAATACATACTGCGAAAGTTCAGCACAACTTGTTTTTATACGCATTACTATTCACTGTAATAATACAAAGATTTAAATACTTTTCATTGGAAGAGACAAGATGGCAATTAATCAATTTTTTTTAAAATCCATTTGTCAATACTTTACAGAGGGCGCTATATTGGTTTCATCACACAAGGCACTCCTTGTCAAAAGAACTTAAGAATACAAATGTCCTCAAAGATATTCACGGTACCAACAAGATTGTGATGAAATATCGACTACTTCTATTGTCCAAACAAGCTGCTTATCATGATAAACAAGTAAAAAGTAGAATTTACTCTAAGAAAAATGTGGAAAACTGTGATACACACATTTGTATACAGACATTTGAAACGTTCTGCCTTGATGACATCATGCATTGACTTAAGAATATGGACAATGTCATTGGAGTGAAACCCAAAGTTCTCCCTTTCACTTCTTCAAAGGAATATTCATGGTCACATTCGAAAATATTCTTACATTTAATTAATAACGTTATAAAATAATCCTATTACATGTCTCCTTTAAAGTCCCGTGTCAAAAAGCTGCACAAAGTCTATGGACTTTGAAGAAAAGAGACTGTTCTTGTGTTTGTCACGTGATTAACACAGAGCTCCTTTGGATTTTTGTTTGTTTGTTTTGTGTCTTTTTACAATGGGTATATTTGTATATAATTTAATTGCGGTATTTTCGTGTGTTGTGTGTTGAACACATTCTTTTAAATTAGATGTCACATGACATATTAAATATGAAATACACATAGTCAAAAATCAATGACAAATCAAACCATGACAACATCATAACGTCGCTTTGAATTTTTTCATTATGAAGACATATTTGACTATCCCACTTAGTTTCAAGGCAACCACATATTTCTTGAAATGCTGCAAGGTTTCTCTGTGGGTAAAATTTAATGAAAGTCCCAGTTTGCCAAGTACATGTAACCACATGCACCCTTTGCAAAACAAACTACATAAAAAGTCTTTTTACACCACGGTAGAACAAAAAGAACTGCAAAAAGCAAAAAGGCTTCTCTGTAACTACGTGAAAAAGCCAACAAAAACAGAAAAAGAACGGCTTTTTTGTAACCATGGAGAAAAGTTTACAAAGAAAAACAAACTGAAACAGTTTAACAGAGAGAAAAACGAAAAGACGCTAAAATCAAAACAAAGCATGCTTCTCCATACTTTGCAGAAAAGCCAAGAATAGCAAGCGAGTTCAATATTCAAAAGCTTATGCCCAACAAGAAGTGCTTTAAACACCTTTCAGAAAAAAAGAAAATGCACGTGACATCTACATTCTCATCAGCACAGCCATAAACCAATTTGCACTTCGGTCTCGAATGACCTTTTCCTTTTGACATACCAAACCGGCATGGAATTCAGGGCCCTATGTGTGGTTCAAAGCCTGTGCAACATGCAGTTCACGTAGGGGCAAGATTGAATTGGGCAGATCTTCATTCATACGTCGACGTTATGATGGAACGGTTCTGTCGGACTTCAAACTCACTTGTGTAGATGGTTGGCTTGAGTCCCCACTCATTCCCCCGGTAAAGGCCCATGTAGGAGAAGGCGTCAGGCTTGTAGGTCAGCTGGCAGCGGATGCCCAGCTTCCGCAGCCTGGCTTCGAGTTCCATCACATCCACCTTGTCTGTGAAGTCCTGGGAGTAGACGCAGACGACATGCCGTGGGCCGTTGAAGTCCCCCACAGTGGGCGCTGAGCTGACCTTGGCGGATATTCCCAGGTGGCCGGTGATGGTGGCCTGGAATATCCTTTCCCATGTCAGGTCTGCGTGAACTCCCGTCTTCTTATAGAGTAGCCACTTGCCTACCAGACATCTATTTGGAAAACCCAGAAATGAAGAAGATTAGAGGTCTATGTCTGTTATTTAATCATATCTTAGAGCCTCAGCTTTCCGCATAGAATTTTTGGAAATGAGTTTTGTAAATATTAGAAATTTGGGTTAGAGTTCTAAATGGTTGAAACCAATAATGGGATCAAATTCAAAGCCACAATGAACTCGCAGGCAAGCAAATGGTACAATCTTATTAGAGCAGAGCAGCAGAGAAAAACTATGTACAAAGTCTATGGGATTTGGGGAAGAAGGAAAAGATAATGGAAGTGAAAAATCTGAACAAAATGAAAAGCTTTTCTTCTAAACTCAAGTGAAAAGGCAAAGGATCACATAGTGACTTCTGTCTGCTAGGAAACAGGGAACGCACTACCCAGAGTCAAAGGAAAATGCATTCTCTGGGACAATGGTGTCTTTAAGGATAGGCATGCAAAGCGAGTGAGATGCAGAGACCCACTTGTATCACAAAGTAATTGGCTACAGGTGCGATTAAATGTTTATTTAACTGTCAAAATAAAAAAAACACCATTCTCGCATTTGTGATATAAAATACCGATTTACTAGAGCCTCAACTCACCAGAAATAGAATGTACGGATTACTGAGTAATAGTCACAGATGCCCGAGTGTGGATATAGATACAAAGAACATATCAGCCGAAGATACCCACAAGTATACTCATCCACTGAGCTGGCTTGGCCCACCCTTGTTGAGGATCTGAAATCATAATAATGACAACGTCCAACTCACCTGTTGTCCACAGCAATCTGTTTGATCTTCTCGAAAGTCACAGGTCTTCCCGACTGCACTAAGTCCTCAAAGGCTTCACAGAGGCCATCAATGTCCCTGCCTTGGTATTTGATTTTACCATCGTCACACAGTCTAAACGTGTAATTCCTCACTATTGGTGCACGGGCCGAGATCCAGTGAATTGGTGATCCCTTCACTCTGCAACATACAGCCACCCCCACAAAAGTGAGTATTACATGAGATATTACAAAGTTGACAATGAATACACGTGATGTACCTAGAATCAAATAGTAACCCATTCTGCACAAATGCATTTGCAAGGGCTAACAATTAATAATCTAATCACATATAGGTAGCCAAAATATTCTAAATCTTATGAGATTTCAATTCTTACAAGAGACTCCTTGCAGTTGGTACAGTTCCTTACACAGGTCCTTTAACATGGCAGGGAACCATTGAAAAAAGAAAAAAGAAGCACAATTCCTCTACAACCTAGGCGGTTCTCCATGAAAAGCCAGAGGAATCTCTTTTTTTTTTTGATAATCATCACAAATGAATTTTAAGATCTGTAGATGACATTTATAGAAACAGTAAATCCAAAACCAAACCACTCCACAAATTTGCAACAAGCCTTACTCTCTGACTCTGGAAGGTGGGTACATGGCCAGAAATTCCTCTGCGGCATGTTTCAGGCTGACCTCCTGCTTCGGGTTTGGGTCAAAAATGAGCCAGCCCGCTTTGTTAGTAACGTTGGCTTGAGCGGCTAATTCTGTGGCCGTCAGCTGTTGCCCGGGGTACCTGCTAGCCTGTTCATCGGCAGGCCTGAGCTGTAGGCTGAGTGAGTGTTTGCTCTCGTGGGGTGAACTGGTTGTAAAGAGAAACGACAAAAGTAAGTTTGGAAAGCAAAACCTCGCCAAAAACTCCACAGCCGCTACAACTTGAAACAGAAATGGCAAAACAATAAGTCCAGAGAGTCAGGTTCTTTACTTGCCTTTCAACTTTGTGAACCAGGTACAATGCCCTGCCCCAGTCCACATGTGAATTGGATTTTCAGTAGTACCCAATTCAATGGGCCATCATATTCTTCAGTAATACCCCACCAGACCCCAGAACCCACCTTGGGTTTCGCCCAAAAGAAGCTTCTGGAGGTTTCCTCTCACTTCTTAATTTTTTACTGCTCGTCATAGCTGCCTCCTTAAAGGTTTCTTCATGCTCACGAGTAATAGTGCCAAAGGCCGTTTTTGGATGCTCGACTTCATCTCTTGGACGCTTTAACAACAAATTGAGAGTGCAAGACAACTAGGCAATGACAACTTCAAGGTCCTGAATTGAAGTGACTGGAGAGTATCAACAACAAACTCACTCATTCACCCAAGGAGGAGGGGTCTGTCCAGCCAGTAATTTCTCCACTCTGCTAATGCACTCCCCGAAGTCGCCGTCGACCCAGCTCCCCGTGGCGGCCACTGACCGGGCTTCTGCAAAGCCGTTGACCAACTGCTCTGACACCCAGGGCTGGGGGGCACCAGTCTTCTTCTTGGTGGGCTGGGGTTGATCGGCTGGGTCTGTCGAGGGTTGAACATGTTGGAGTAAATTGACGAAGGGGCTGGAGTCCGTGTAAACTGGTTCCAGTGGCAGGATGTCCTCTTCATTGGAGTTTGCCATAGAAACAGACAAACTTTTGAAAAGTTTCCCTAAAGTGAAGATGTCGACCTGTTGAAACAAAAATGCAAACATATTTTTCATCAAAGATCAACCTCGAAATGGCCATGAGCATCGCTAGGATTTTTTTCCAGTGGAAACAGGGCAAAGCACTCAACAGACTCAAACTGACAAACTTTTCATAGAGAGGAGGGGTCAATTCTGAGGTATTTTCAAGCAAATTGCTAATTCTCAACCCCTGTGCTCTTTTTTTCTTCTTGTTCTTTTCTGTCCCTCTTTATTTTTCAGGGTCTTTCTGAGGGGGGATTTGGCTAATTTGCGTGCTGGGCACGCTCCATTTTGAGCCCCATGGCCAATTCTTGTTGGAATGTACCACCTTCGCATCTAGGCCTATGCCAGGGTGCCCACCAGCCTCTGTTTCCTTGGCCAGAGAGAGGGTGCGACACGCACTAAATTTTATACACAGAATGGATGTGCTTTAGGAACAATGGCACAAACCATTATCCTGACACGATAATAAAGCGGTACCCCTCTCTCACAGGCTGTGGCATGCACAAGAAGCTGCTTGGAATTCATGGTACCAGTTACCAGTGTTTCTCGGAGACTTCATCTTGGTTCAGCTTTAATTAGTACCCTGAATTGGTAATGACATGATTGTACAGGCTGTATTGACTGGCACAGCATCTTAACACACAAAGTGTTTATGGAAACTTTGCAACTTTAGGCATATCAAGACCAATCTTCATCCAATATTCAAGAATTACTCTATGTTGCGAATATCGGTGTCAATAATCATGCCCAAAAAATTCATGACTCGGAATAAAGTCACAACTATTTGTACCGATGTTGGGGATTGCAAATTTGGGGACTCTGTTCCCATAATGGGAGAACTACATTTTAACTTTTGAATTCACCTTGGTAGATGACTGTGGCATCATGCTCAATAACTGTAGGGTTTATGTTGTCAAACAAGGGCAGGGTTTTGAGTTTTGAGGGAAATCATGAGGGGATGCTGTGAGTGTTTTAACACATGACACATGGTGGATTCAAATTTACATGACTACAATGTAGTTACAATTGATAATTTGAAATTTCAAAAAATGGGGTCACAGCAATATGTAGAGTGTTGTCTTTCATTTTTGAGGGGTTTTACCAGTTTTGCAAGATTAAAATGTCAAAAAACTATGGAGTACCCAAGTATACAATCCCCTTGATGTCAACATCTACAAGTACATCCAAAATTCATGACATGACCCAAGGCCCAAATATTAATGTCAATATCTACATTCACATTCAATAATCCAATATAAATAATACTAGAGTAACCCATCCTACATGTCAACCTCACAAAACACCAAATGTTAGCTGGCCTGCGCAGGACATGCTGGAGATAAAGTCTCGACAACATTCGACAGGGCAAGTTTTGAATACGGTCGTGAACAATACTGACATGACTGATGTAAATGTTTGCAAGCTGCAGAGCAACTAGTGAAGTTTAGCAGTGAAAACAGACGTCAATATTTGCGACTTGGGACAAGTCGTGAATTTTGGACGTCAATATTGGCGATGTCCCTTCAGATCCACCATACCTTGGAGACAAGCGCTCATGATATTGACTGATGATTGTGATGGTGATAGGGCTACAGTAGGCTAAATAATTTTGACTTGAGCATGGTTTTAGTAAAATTCTGAGGCTTATATCTGCTACATCCAATCGAATATCTAAGTTTTGTCCTTCGCAATCCTTTCACAATCGATTCACAAGTAAGACCATATCACCATAGGTCCCCACCCGAAACGGGAGTTTACCTACCGCCTCAATGACCGCTTAACTTGGTATTCGCTCCAGTTGAAGTGCGCCCTCACCGGCCGGTAGAAAATGACTAGCGGAATCGAAAACGGGCGAAATTGAAGGCATGGTTTGACCACTTGCTTCATGTCTGGACTAACTCTGAAACTCCTGGTTATTATTGTTTTTCCATCATGATGAGATGAACTCGATGAAACATTGTAGGTCAATGTGTGGACAGTGTGGTAATTAGGACGTTTGAACTTCTCAATCCCACAACTTGAGCCGCCGTCAGCCTTGGTGTAGGCTTAGTGCATAGAGCGCCCCCTTTAAATTTCATTTCTTTCTACACGTACACACGTGTAGTACACTGTATAATAGCCTTATGTGCCATAGACGGACCCATGCAGTACGGTCCAGTCCCCGAAGATTCTGTCCTCCATCCAGCAGACGACTGGCTCGTGTAGAATGTCTCTCCGGACTGTTTGTCATGGATTATTCTTCGGCACTTCTCAAATGTAGAACGTTAATGAAAGAAAATATAACTCCTATTAGTTAAGATACTTTGCTAGTATCTTATAGAGATTAATATTATTTTGAACGTCGTCTACAGCGTTCAGAATTGACAGAGAGGTAGGTCATTAGTTTGTTGTTTGCAAGGGTCCCATCAAGTTACAATCTGTTCGTGTCTAAATTTCACCGCGTGCGCAAAGATCAGAGTCTGCTTGGCCCCGGCTTTTCATGTTTGCTGGAAAGCGGCCAACAGACTCCTGATCGCAACCTTTTCAGCTGCACCTAAGGCTTTGCTGCTTGGAGGATGACTGGGAAAAGCTTGGAATTATACTCCAAGATAGCTGATTAGCCTATCTCAAGTCTCAAGTTTCGTCTTCAGTTGGTGGTTTGCAATGTTGTTTCGCAGGTGGAACATTCAAAGTTGACGAAACTTTCTTGATGGCGAAAAGTTTCAATGTCCAGTTCTTCAGGTATTGACATTATGATCTCCATAGCAGAAGTCATGTAGCTCCTCCTTTTGGGGCGGACACTGTACACGTGAGAGCAACATCATCAGCGTATATGCTCTCAGCAGTTGTTGGCAAGTTAGACGTATAGATGTTGCAGACGGTCGGTGCAAAAGGACAGAGCCCTGAGCAACACCCTTTTAAGCCGGTGTGGTCGACTTCTTTGACCGTCACTAGTGAAGAACACAAAGGATGTGGTATTGGGGAGCTGCATGATGAAGTCAGTGAGCTGACTGGAGCTGATTATTCTGTAAATGGTACACGCTGATTTATTCACTTAGCAATGACTGCACTAGAAAATGTGAAGCCTGATTATGGGGTGTTTTTTGGTTTGATGTACCCTAACGTGCCGGCCCCAGCGGCGTAGCCGGGGGGGGGGGCTTCACGCTAAAGTGGGGGGGGTGACTGGATGTTGGACATATACATGTACATAATGGTGATTACATCAAAGTATACATGTGTGCCGTTTCTGAAATGAAACGGGGGGGGTCTGCAGGGCTCCTAAGGGTGGCGCTCTTTTCGCCTCCAGTGCCTCGCCGGAGCAATATTTTTACCTCAAATTTCACAATAGGTGTAACTTCATCAAACTCCTAATATTCTGATTCAGAAATCTCGACTTTACTTACCTGCTTCAAAGTTCTGATGGATCATTTTCTCCCACTTTGCAGATTTTTTTTTCTGAAGTGCAAAATGAGCTCTTTTAGAATGCTCCCAAATTACGAAATGATTTTTCTGGCAAACGTATGGTTAGGTACGTTAGTAGAGGTACCAAAAAATGATCATAATTTATCAACTTCAAAGAACTTCTGAAATGTTTATGTGGGGGGTTCTTATATATTTTCAAATGTGCTACGTTAGGAAACAGTCATCTGAATTCTTGCCCATTTCCAGACGCCGTTGTTTTTGAATTTCCCACGAAATTCCGTGACAATGAAATTGTTCCAAACTTGATGGCATGAATTATGAAGATTATGCCAGTAGGCCTGTTTAACTAAATGAACTTGAAGGTTTTCAAAAAAGGTTTGGCAACACTGTAGGAAGCAAAGCCAAGTGAAAGTCAAAGTGCACCGCGTTTGAGGACTCCTTTTTTATTTTCTCCAATTTTTTGTAGAATAGCTATGTACACACAGGGGTACACAGGTTCAGGCCATGAAGTAGCACACATTACAGTTATTATTCAAAGCATCAATCCCACAAGGGTTGGGTGAGTTGGGTAAATTTCTTCCCTTTGCAGTTCCTCAACATTTTTTTTATAAACTTCAAAAAGCTCTTCGATACCCTTTTGTATTGATCGTCACTTTTGCACTACTTTGATTCAACTGTTTTATGTTAATGAACGTGCTAAGCGCAAAACCTTAGAATAAGAATTGACGGGCGTCAGAGTGTGCCTAATACTTTATTCTTGTAGTCGATATGACATGGTTTTGTTCAAAGATTGTGCATCGCCGCGCTCGGCGCAATATAATCTCTCGATGTATGTTGAAGAACTAAATTGTTGTAATCGCATACGTACCCGTGTACGTGTTATGTCATACAGATATGAGTATGTACACGAACAAATTAATTTGGATGCCGAAACTGTCCACTACTCAAATTGTCATGCGTAAGTTAACCTGCATGCAGCCTGGAATATAACCTGAAAGTTCACCCCTGATGGCCCGTTTCTGGAACCCTTGGATAAGAAAAATAACGTGCAAAGATTTTAGAATTTGTAATATTTTTTCGTTCTCTTACTTCTGAAAAAATCCAACTCGGAAAAGGGCCTTTGGAAGATATTTGCTAGTATATCAATTTATAGAAACTGAAAACTCACCTGACCTAAAAGAGAAATATCCTGCCAAAAATGACCCATCACTTCCGAAAATCTAAAATATATGAAGAACAGTGTAATGCGGCAGTTTCGTACACATATGAATATTTACGGTTTGAAATTTTATGCTAGTCCGTTGGTAAAAACCAAAATAAAAACAGATCAAAATATTTTACACACTCTTGTATTTATAAGTAGTAAACTTAGTAGTAAAGCAATATTCTACTTCACGAAAGATTCTAATCTTTCATCTAACCTTTGTTGACAACAACTGCGTGATGTCAACTAAACGGAATCTGGAACCCATCTACTGCAAGAAGGTAAATCTTTGCAACGTTGTACAATCTCGTTTTCACGTAAGCACGAGCAGTGAAAACAAACGTGCATGAACTTGGAGACCTAGGTACGATATCGCCGGAAGTGAAAGGTCGTTTAGAAAATTTGTTTTTCATGCCTTACCTCAATGTAACTTTTCCAAAATATTACTTGAGGAAGACAAAGGTAAAATTCCAACATGAGTGTTTCATAGGGTGGTTTCAATTAGGAATTATTCTTCCAAAAATTATTGAATGTGATAGGACGGCTCGACGTAAAATTCCCATAGGAGGGCCGCGCGAGGGTTCCGGAAGTTGGTTGCGTGACCTTTTACTTTCAGGCTCTATTGCGGATAAGGCCGTATTTGCCAACCAGTGGCTTGTAAATTAAGGCTGGTCGCACAAAAGCAGAAGAATACAGGGACAAATCTGGTGCAGTTAACAAACAGAAGCACCGGGCTTCAGTAATACAAAACGCTAAATAAAAGATGTAACCCTCATTGGATATAATGGGAAAATGTAAATTTTGACGTCAAATCTGATACCAGCTAAGGGTTAGTTTCCCAAAACTCTTTGGCTATGCCATACATGAGTATTCAGTGAACGCGGAGTGTAACACGCGCCGGCCACATTCGAATGGTGCCCGTCTCTAGCAGACAAAAGGCGGTCTTCTTCGAGGCCATGTGTATCCAGAAGGAGAGGAAGGGGACGGGGTTTCGGTAAGAAAGTGATGGAGGACGCCAAAGAGTACGCCGAGGAACTACGGTACTGAGAAGTTTACTGCTACAGCTTTATCCAAGGGCGGAACAGATCGGGTCGTATCCTCGACTACCTGGGACCATAGGGCACCGAGTTCGAGCGACTGCATTGTATTATAGATAACAATGGTTTGAACATCGTCGCCTGAGGGATGGATGGTTTCGACCATAATTTTGGAACCAAGAACGGGGGTGCGGTATTGTCGCACTGCTGGTTATCAAGAGCTGATTTATTTTATCAGTAGTGAGGGAACCATTCATACATGAATAATGTAATGATATGTCATTTAACATAAGCACACTGAGACTTGTAGCCAACAGCAGAATGTGAGCGAATAATTATGGGATTTTACGAAATAGTTCAACCATAATGTAGAATATATATGTAGTCCAACAACGTACAAACGTGACTGCGCAATACAAACCTATGGGAATGTCCACTGTGTCGAGAAAAATCAGACATTCGCTGTACAAACCTATGGGAATTTCATTTCTGAACTTACACCTTTCGCGCCCCCAACTTTCACGTCATTCACTCTTTCATAACAAGTGCGCGTATTATTTTAGTATCGACCGCCATGACTTTTTGAAGTCCGGCCGTATATCAGCCTGAAGTCATAAGCTTGTTTACCAATGACAAAAGTGATGTTGCATTCGTTTAGACTTCCACTGGTTGAGAATCAGCCTATAAGCCTGACATAATGGACCAACTTTATTTCCGTCCCTTACACATGGGTCAGAAACACATCCATACAGCACCCTGTTTTGCTCAATCAACTTGTCCCATTCTTTTAACCAGCCTTGAGATTCAGGTGGTTGAGGTGAATCAGGTTTAACCGGCTGCCCAGGCTCCCAGCAACCTTGCCAGCAATGGAGATGATTCTGCACTTTGCATGTCCCTGGGTTCCAGAGGTAGTTGAGTACCTCCCAACAGATCTGCGCAGGCCATTTCTTGAACAGAGACAACAATCGCTTGCTGGGGGTACCGACTGAGCGCGTCTGCGCATTTATTTGACTTCCCAGACCGGTACCTAATCTCCAAATCAAAAAGAGCCAGCTGGGCAACCCAGCGCTGCTTAGTCGCCCCAAGCCTGACTGTTTGCAAATCGGAAGGTGGGTTGTTATCTGTAAGGCATGATGACCCAACAAATAGTCTCTAAATTTCTCGGACACTGCCCATTTGAGGGCAAGTAATCCGAGCTTAAAACTAGAGACATCCGTGTAGTTTCGCTCAGCTCCCCGGAGTCCTTGGCTCGCATATGCCACAGGATGCAAGCGACCGTCATCATCTGCCTGGGAAAGCCCATTAGCGGAGGTGTCGGTCTCCAACAAAAAATCTTGGTCTAACTTAGGGTACGCTAGCACCGGTGCCTCACAGAGGGCTCACTTCAAAGTGCTAAATGCCCTGTCTGCTTCGTCGGTCCAAAGGAAGGTTGCGCTGCTCCCTGCTTTTTCTGGTGACTTGGCATTGAGGGAGTGTAACGAGCGAGCAATTTTCGCAAAGTCGCGTACAAAGCGTCTATAATATGACGCTAAGCCCAGAAACGATCTGAGTTGCCCGATGTTGGTTGGAGTCGGCCAGGAACTCACTTGTTCGGTCTTACCTGAGTCTACAGATACCCCTTCTCCACTCACAATATGTCCCAAGTGGGTAACTGAGGACTTGAAGAATTGGCATTTCGTCACATCCAGCTTAAGGCCTTACTGTCTGAATCGAATGAAGACCTTTTCTAGCCTCTGAAGATGTGGGGTGAAATCAGAGGAATAGACCAAAAGGTCATCTAAATACAAGATTAGCTCTGACAGATTCAGGTCGCCAAATATCTGCTCCATTAACCGCTGAAAAGTGCTCGGACTGTTTATCAGTCCCTGGGGGAAACGCATGAACTCAAATAGTCCCCAGGGACCCTGAAGGCTGTCTTCTCGACGGAATCAGGATACATGGCAACCTGAAAGTATCCGTGCGCCATATCGAGAGATGAGAATACCTTCGCCCCACCAAGAGCTTCCAGCGACTCTTCTATTCTAGGTAACGGACATAAATCTTTCCTGGTCTTCACATTCAAGCATCTGTAATAGATGCACAATCTAAGTTTTCCATTTTTTCCGGGCTGGCATACAGACCACAAGATCTGCGGATAATATCCCACTCTAAAAGATCCTGAAGCAACTTCTTGATTTCGCCCACCTGATTCGGAGCGACTCTCCGATACGGAAGATTAACCGGAGTGCTATCATTCAGTATAATCTGGTGAGAAATGCTGTCACAGTAACCCAGGTCATAACTCCCACTCGAGAAAACATCAGAATACCTCTGAAGCAACTCGGCTGCCCAAGCTGTATCCGATAGGTTGAGATGCTTCAGGGTCATACCCAGGGGCAACACATATTCCTAACCACCAGGAAAAGTGAAACTCTCCCCTTCTACTTCACGCTTCTCGACCCCACTTGCATTGTCAACTGCAGAGGCATCGTCAGACTCACTATGAGGGCAATAAACTGCCGCATACTGACCTACATCGGTCACAACTTGGTGCACAGAAACACTGTTACTATCCGAGTCCGCCTCAAGGAAGATATGGTCCTCAGGAATTACCCCTTTCAAAGATGCAACTTGAGTAAGAGCGGGGACAACCAACGGTTCCGGACTAGCTTTAGCTACGTATACATCAATACCAGCACCACTGATGTTTGCAACACCCTCTAACACCTGACAAAAATTGGCAGACTCGTCGTCCACCCCGGGCCTCACTTCTTTAAAGCTCCCACAGACGTTAATGCATATGGGGGGCAGGCTGAACCAAGAAGCTTTTGTCAGCCATGGAATCTAAATCTGCTTCGACTCGACATTGCAATAACCTAACTGTCTCAAGAGGAATAACATTCCGCTCACTGGTAAATACACCCGACAAAGTTGTCTGTGGTGGGGCAACTTGTACCTGTGAGGATGACTCAAACCAGCGAAGTGCAATTTCCCAATCTGGGTCAAGTTGAATCTTCCCCACGCAACCTCGTCTGGCTACAATTTGGCGCAGTGTGTTGCAGCCAAGCAATACTGGGCAATGCCCATGCCGAGCAGGGCCAACCGGCGTCTTTCTGTCCTTGGATACCAAGAAACCTGCACTAAATCTATGTCCGAAAGCCTCCAGGCAAACCTCCAGGTACCCGTGAACAGGAATCTCTAAATCGTTTGCGCCCACAAGTTTCACAAGTGTTCCTATTGGCTTTAATTTTCCAGTGCCTGTAAGGTGATTTCGATAGAACTCTGCTCATAAAAGTGCAGCCTCTGCTCCAGTATCTAAGAGGCACTTAACTGGAATAAAATTAATCCTGATGTTACCCGTGGGCGACTTAGCCAAATGCCTACGAAGAACCTCGTCGGCGTTGAGGTTCACACCCCCAATTTCAGTTTCAAGACTGACTTCATCACTGGCACTTACATCTGGAACACCCTTTGAACTAGTGGGCAAAAAAGAACCCTCCTCCGCTACACTGCCCTCTGCAGCGGAGGCTGAGCATTTCACGGATTTTGTGGTTCTGTTGAGGGAGTTTGTTCTCTTTTTCTTTTATAACACGCTTCCACGGCATGCCCTGTCCTCTGACAGTAAGTACATTTCAATGTACTGCTTTTTTTCTGATTGCCGCGATTCTGTTGCCGAGCAAGCAGGCTTTCGATACCTGTTCGACTGCTGTGTGCTCAAATTGGATTGTTGGGTAACTAGCTTGTGTGTGGATTCCACCAATTGTTTCTGAAATCTATCTTTTAGCACGGACGTGGCTCTACACGCAGCAGCAGTGTTATTATCAGGGTCACATTCCCCTAAATTACGCTGTTCTCGCTCTGGGAACAACTCCAGCGCAAGCTCGCGCAACTCAAAGAAAGTTATGGTAGGGTTACCGTACAACGCCTTACGCAGCTCACGCTTGACAGAGATATCCCTAACTCCATTCACAAATTTCTTAATGAGTGTTTTCTCGCGAGGCATTTTTAGTGACTCTCTTTGCCTCTGGTCAGGCGCAGCAGCTTCCATTTTATCATGCAGGCGTATCAGAGCTCGCCCAAGTTCACCTAGGCTCTCTTCTGGTAATTGAGTGCGCGAATTAAGTGCCCTTGTCAATGACTGAACTGTTTTGGGTGGACCAAACCGTTTAGTGAGAAGAGCCGCCAGTTTGGGGAAAATGTCCCTAAATTCCGGGGGGGGGGGACAGAAGCACTTCCTCTTTGGCAGAACCGTCCATGTAATCAAGGGCAGTGCCGAGTCTCTCCGCATCGTTCAAGCCAGACTGCCTGACATAGGTGTCAAAATCTGAAAGCCATTCCTTAATAGTTGGGTCCCCTGGCTCACGGGGTCAGCCACAAAATCTAACCCAAACCCTATCCCTACCCCTAACAATATCCGAAACCCCAACCCTATCTCAAACCCTAATCCTAACCCTATCCATAACCCCAACCCTATCTCAAACCCTAACCCTACCCGTAACCCTATCCGTAACCCTAACCCTATCTCTAACCCTACACGTAACCCTATCTCTAACCCTATCCTTAACCCTATCTCTAACCCTAACCCTACCCCTAACCCTATCCGTAACCCCAACCCTATCTCAAACCCTAACTCTAACCCTATCTCTAACCCNTAACCTTATCCGTAACCCTTCCCCTTTCTTTAACCCTACCCCTACCCCTAACCCTAACCCTAACCGTACCCGTAACCCTATCTGTAACCCTAACCCTATCTGTAACCCTACCCCTAACCCTATCTCTAACCCTAACCCTATCCGTAACCCTAACCCTATCTCTAACCCTAACCCTACCCCTAACCCTATCTGTAACCCTAACCCTATCTCTAACCTTAGATAACCTAGCAGTGGCTACTCGCAGTTATCTTAAATTTTGGAATGCACCAGCAAGGGTTTCAGCTAACGCTTGATTTGACTGGCGTAATGCTTCAGCCACGCCGTCGGGCAGTGCCATGTTTTAAAACGGTTCAGAGATGCGGAAGAACTCTATCACATCAAAACCAAACTGTATTATTCATTTAAAAAAGAGACTGTCACGGACGATTTAAAATACAGCGCTTACATGTGAATTCTAAGGAAAGGCTAATCGCGTCACCTGGTATAACTAATGCATGAAAGACAAACACTCATAAACTCCATCAGGGTAACAAAAACAAAATCCGATATCTATAATCAAAGATGAGATTAAAGGGACTCATAAATAATAATCTCCCTCCAATGCGAGCATTATTTTACATGAAAATTACATGTACATAGTTTGTGCTTCCTAACACTTCACAAATTGAGACACACAACAAAACTACATGTATAGAACCCAACACTGGGAGTTTCTTGAAATTTTGAATTAATTATACAAGTACATGTCCAAGGCCCAGCATCCTGTCTACGACGCCACAATCTGTCGGGAGATGGCCTACCCGCCCAGCCGGTGACTAGGGCGGGGTCCGCCTCCCTAATTGAAGAAAGAAGGCTGGAGATGGAAATGTACCACTCTTCTCGCTGCTGGTTTATTATTCGCCAGTCGACGAAGTTCAACTGCGGTACACACAAAGAGAATAAAATAAACCCTGGAATAAAATAACCAAGTCCATAATTACTTAATTATGATCTCATTTTTTATTGGTGAATTGCGTGCTTAAACTACGCATCAATTCACAAAAGCAATAAAGCCCTTTCAGCTTACCCCAGTATATCCTGGTATAGTAAGTGTGACCGAGCCAAAGGGTGGGTATCGCCCACGTACACCACGGACGCTATAAAATAAAATACACGCTACAGTGATTCGATCAGCTTACGACACTGATGTACACATAGAAAACCTCAAAACTAGGGTTGTCATAATTTGACTATAGTAAGCACGGGGGGGGGATTTCAAGTCATTTAGGAACATGCGGGCCTGTAAATGATAAAAAAATACTTACGTCCAAAGAAGCCAGTAAAGGACTTTTCTCTTCTAATAACCAGTACTAGTAGTAGTGGTCCTTGACAAATTCCAAAGCAAGAGAAAGCGTGTTTTGTCACGTAGGCACCAGCCTAGTACGTTCATCGCTGCCCGAATATTCCTGCGCTATTAATAAGGCGTCCTGTGCTCAGTGCCCTCATTTGATATCTAAAATGTAACTATGTAGGGATCTGGGAATTCCCCATCAAATTTAGCGAATTGTGTGACCTTTGAACCTTGTGCACGTCTTCAAGGCGTGATTGGGCCCACGTGGGTGCACAGAATGTACATGTACAGTACAAGTATTTTCTGTAGGTCTTGCTTGTCAGCCGGAAGTGGCCTACAATGTGATACTTTTTGGGGGCACTGAAGTTGGGCGGATTTCCAAGGTTTTTTTTCGGGAGAGCGGAGAGTGCTGTGCGAGACGACTGGGTGGATGGACGTTGTGATGGTTCGGCCGGGAATCACGTAGATTAGCACCGATTTAATTGTCCAAGCAGTTGTGATTGTAAAAGAAATCCAGTCCGCTTGAACACCCAAGTCTTTCAGTGCCAACTTTCTTTTTGCCTGCCTGGCCTCCAATTCCCCCTTCAGGGGCCGGACCGCTACACCTATTTATTGTAAAAAGCTTAAATATGAAATATGACCACAAACTTAAGCCACAAACCAAGTTACGATGTTTGTTTACATAGGTGTTATTTGTAGGTCAGTGTACAAAGATCACCGTAATCCGGCCAGGTCACATGCAAGTTAATCAGACGATTTCTCATGTTTGGGGATTTCTCTGGACGTGCAATAATCTAACAGCGCGGTGCTGCACAAAATACGTGCCTCCAATAAGACTGGCTATGGTGTTACAAAAAGTCCTGACCCCCACAACAATTCAATGTATGGGATCGATTAGGAATATTAGCAAAGGCTCAAAGTCTACCAGGCTGTAGTGAACACTGCCATGCGCTTGTGAATTGTCTGCAGCAATCACGCGTGACTGTTGAATCACTTCCATAGTCTGGCTACCCAAGCTAATGAAGATCAGAGGACCAGAAAAGAGGTTCTCAGACTTCAGAGCACAGAGGAAGGTCCTTAAAGACCGGTACTAAAAGATTGCTCCTTGAGCGCCTGGATAAAGACCAAGCCTTCTGGATGGGTGTCCTGTGGTCGGACGAGACTAGGATGAGCTTTAGCATTTTTTGTGGTTGTCTTAGGAATCGAAAACGTCAATACTCCAGAAAGAATACCAGCTCGAGAGCGGGATAACTCTTTAAGGTTGAAACAAATAGACAATCAGGAAAATAATTTGAGTGAGTGAACAACCAGGCAACAAGGCTCATGTAACTACATGTGTCTTATAATGCATATTTGAAAAAAGTTATTTTATTGCTCGTGCATAATAACTATAGAACCACAATTGATGAAGAAAAAAGATAGAGTTACAAATACAAACTAATGAAATATAATCTATCGTAAAGGTAATAAACTAAATTAGTTGAATAAAAAAACAAACTATGACTTTTTCTCAAATAAACCTGCCGCCGATTTTACGAACTCGATAGCTGCGCGACAAATTAAGACCAGTTAAGTCGCGACTTTCGCAACAAACTATGGCGTAACTTATACGGAGTCATTTTAGACGGAACAAATCGAATCGAAAATGGATTTGATTAATTTATCGTGTTCGGTTAGTCTTATTATCATTGCTGAACGAAAAACGTACAACTTTAGAGGGAAATAAAGAACTTGTTTGGCTTCAAGAACTGTAAGATTTTCTGTCCGATTCTGACAAAGAAAAGACGAAAATGTTTTCAAAATGGCGGCTGGAAGTGATTTATCGGCTGTTGGACGACTGTTGTTATATTGAAAAGGAACAGCCGTCGTAAAGCCGCTTTTGTCATTGTGTAAGAAATTAACACTTTTCGAGAAATTGAACCGAAGTAGCTGCGGCATAAATTTGTGCGGCAAGGCTTACATAAGGTTTCAAGTTACGCCACGTTTCGTGAAATCGGCTAAAACTGAAACTTTTCAACATTCTACTTGTAAGGCGAAGATTAGACGTGATCTGAAAAGACTGAAAAACAGGATTGTCTGCTGGTTTGTTTGTTAGCACGGAGCGCTCGGCTCGAGAATCCAACCTGCCCGGGGCCACTTAGTAAAGCTCACTTCATATACATATAACCTCGCTGAATTCTAACCAATACTACAGGTCGAAGTTTCTCCGATGGAGCATAATGCCTGTCCCTGCGCCACGTTACTCCCCTCCCTCTGGTTCACAGAACGATGTTTCTCCCCTACCCTAGCTTATTAACCTCAGATGCCTCTGAGCATGAGGATTACTAAACCTAAGTTACATTCCAAAATAACATGTTTTTTTCCTTTCGCATCTTTTCTGTCGATAAAACATTCCAAACAAACGCCCCAAGAAACTTGTCTTGCACCTTCGTCCCTTTAGGGCTAACGCTGTCCGGTTCCATAAGCAGCCCCACTAGCCATTTCAAGCATTTTGATAATTTTTCCTTCTTTCAAATCGCTCTTTTCGTCAGCGAGTATTTCCTTGGTGAACTCCTGGGAGGAGGATAAAACAAGTCATTTTTTGTCAAATAGAAAAGCATCAACATACCACCCCATAAATTTGTCTTTTTGGATTCGTTATAGAACTCGGATATACATGAGATTTTAAATTTGCAAACGAAGCATGAAAGCAAGCCAAATCCCCTCAGACAGAGAAACAACTAAAACTAAAATTACTAAATCAAACATCAAATCACAAAGATATCAAATAAAACAAAAAACAATGAGCATATCACAGAAATTGTAATGTAATGGGCGAACATAACGTCAGTAGCATCAACTCTATAAGAGGGCAAGGTTTTCCTATTCCAATATGAGTTATAACACCCCAGGGTGTTAGGGTTAAGGTCTGGTACAAACCTAACCAAAAATGAGAACCAAAGACATACAGGAATCATGAAAACTGGGAGATTAAAAGCAACAGTTTGGAAAGATAGACAAGAAGGAACAGGACTTTTAATTGCTTAATCTTTTCTTGCAAGGCACTGTTGGAGACTTGACGTACAGTTAACCGGGAAGGACATGAATTTAATACAAAATAACAAAAGAAGCATAGAACTCACTGTCCAAATTTTCTTGACAAAGGCTTTGTCTGTGCTGACTTTTGCCTTTTTCAGGGGTGAAACGCTGGGCCCAATCCAAGTGATAAAGGCAAACTTATCTCTAGTGTCAACTTCGAACTTTGCATAGGCATAACATCGGTCGTCTTCTGCCGAAAGAAAATCGTACGAACCGACCGTTAGGCCTTCAGGATACATTATATATTCAGTTTGGAACATTTCTCAAACCTTCGTTTGCCTCAAGCCGCAGCTTCAGTATCGTTGATTTAAGGTTTCTTATCGGGGGGATCTGGAATAACATGGATACCGCTATACTTGAAAGCAACGACAGATTGAAATGATGGGACCAAAGGGGAAAAGCCGCAGCCGAACACACAGCGGAGAAACGGCTTACGTCTTCCCAGACACTTTCGTACTTCCGGGCCAGTTGCGGAAATCATGATTTCTTTCATCCCTATTGGATTAAAGCATGTTAAAGCAAATGATTGCCCCAAAAGTCCGCATTTCGGGGAAGGGATGTCGATCTCCCAAATACAAGACGATGACAACGGCCGATATCCCGGCACAGCGAGCGAGCTCTCCTGACTTTGTCCAGTAAAGCCAGATATACGTCCAATCCATCTACGCACAAGAACCGAAAATGTTACCTATGTGATATACTGAAAAAGCCACAGGATGCCAACGAAAGGGTTGAAAAGGGGTCTCGTTCTTGTTCAAAGGGCGGAGTTTCAGAACTCACGTGTTCCATTTCTTTTGGATTGCGTGAAATATCATTTTGAAGGATAGTTTACCGTGGATCAAATAAACATGGCATTATCCCCAATAAAGGCACAGTGTCATTTTCAACTGCATAAGCTTACAGCTCACCAGCTCACCGAGGGAGGAAGCTAGCTTGATAGACACAGTGAACTGCTTTTGTGTGTATATCATCCCGTTCCCTAAAGACTGATCCACGAAGCCGCACCCCTTTAACACGACCTGTTCTTCTTCTATGTCACACGGCCACCCTCGTTCCCCAAAGCGGTACCACGTTGGTTCCCATCGTACCACTTGCGAGATGGTAACCCCTGGTACATAATGAGAAATGGAAATATTCCACGATGGGAGATTTAAATAATGGTTGTATTACGAGACGCAGATTCACGCGTGACGTGACGTAAAGGTGTCATGAAACGACAAGACTAAAGGCGCCTTATTTCCATATCTACGCATTTTTGGCTACGTTGCACACACGATGCGTTCATGCGTTTCACTTTCAAGGACACAAAAATCGACTCCATTAACATAACGCACGTGTGCGATGCGTTTGGTTTTTGTAAACGAAATTTCCAGAGTTGGGAGCCACAAGCCCCAAATTCGTAATTGATAGAAATATCTCCATGTTCGGTCCCGGTAATGATACCCCGCACTGCAAATAACTCGCAGGATCACCGGAGTCAGGTTGGTGTAGTGGCTCTTCCCTCGCCTTCCACCTCTGCGACCCACGTTCGAATCCCAACTAGGTCAGCATGTGGATTGAGTTTTCAGTCCCTGTCTGACTCCGTGGGTTCTTCCGGGAATATTCATCCGGGGTTTTCCTCCTACCTCTAAAACTGAACATTTCATTTTCTTCTTAATTACCACTTCATCCTGTAATTGGCGATAAGTGCGCTGTTGGTTGAACAGAAATAAACTTTTAAAAATGAACAAAAATATCTATGAGCTTGCGCTTTGAAATTAGCGCTTTAAATAGAATGTGCCCTCATTGGGGCCTAGGCTGGTTGGTATTTTGTGCATGTAGGATCGCGGATATTACAGCTTTTGGATGGTCATAACACAAAAGGGCTTGGCTTAATGGCCATCGGTCTTTTGGATTCTGAAGTCACCATGCATTCTGTGATTGTTGTGTTCAATACCTCCAAGAAGATCCAACAGGTCGCTATATTCCATACCACAGTCACCCGGCACGATGATTTTGCCGTCGTATGTAGCAGTGCACCTGAGCATTGATATTTGAGCAAATTGGATCATAAGACAAACAAATTATATCGAGCATTAGGCTTTGTCTGAATAATATGGCTATGGCTAGAAAGAGCAGGTGCGCTTATAGACTAATTCGATTTGACACCATAACTGCGCTGGTACCCATAGATATGAAATAAAAAGACTAGATCGGCAGTGCGTGAATATAGGTGCGCATTCTTTGTGCCATAATTGTACATCATTTTTTGAAGTCTCTCTTGGACACACAAAATGAACGTAAAGTATTCAGGTAAATGTATCTTCCTCTAGCACGTGACCCTCCAGACAAGACCACGCTTGACTCACGCACTGCCGATTTGTCAGTAACTTAAAGCCAAATTAAAAACAGATAAAAACAAACTTTTAAAAAAATTCATACTAGGTAAGAAACTGAAAGTAATAATCTACTTTTACGAAAGATTCTAATATTTTATTTAACCTTTGCTGACAACAGCTGCGTTATATCAAATCAAGGGAACATGGAACCCATCAACTACAGGTAGGTAGATCTTTGCAGTGTTTTACAATCTCGTTTTTACGTAAGCACGGGCAGTGAAAACAAACGTGCATGAACAAAGAGACCTGGGTACGATATCGCCGGACGTGAAAGGTCGTTAATGAGATTCGGTTTATACCCATCACCAGGTGACTTTTCCTGAATATTAGTTGAGGAAGATAAAGGTCAAATTCCAACATGAGTGTTTAATGGGGTGGTTTCAGTTAGGAATTATTCTTTCAAAAAGTTTCGAACGTGATAGGACGACCCAAAGTAAAAATCCCCATAGGCAGTCCGCCTTCTGTTCCGGAAGCTCGCCGCGTTAGTACCTTTACTTTCGGGCTCTATTCTAATTAGACTAAAGACATTCAGCATGATGCTGCCATATTTGTATTGTTCCGTCAAACCCCCTTGGCAATAGTATAACAGCTTCACATGTTGTTAAAATGGGAACAGACTATTTTCCTTCCAGCCTCGGTTTGGTTAAATTGCTTTGAATGGTAGTAGAGCAAAATAACTGCCGCATCAGTTGCGAATCCAGCAGGGGGAAGGACTTTCCCCCGCCACACACACAACTAAGTGTGTATTTGCCTGCAACTGGGGACCCCCTATTGTTCCTCTTTTGTTTGTACTTCAACTGTTTTAGAAGACCACCCATATGTTTTGTACACAGTTATCAATCGGAGACCCTCTCAATCGGGGACCTTATTGTCCTCTATTGGTCAGGGTCCCAAATTGAATGCAGAAACAAACTCCACACACATCCACCAAAAGCTGGATACGCCACTGTGTCCAATGACAGAGGTCAATGGCAGCTGGTCAGCCTAGCGATTGCAGTTACTTCCATCTTCTATCTGTAACAATGCTTAAATACAGCGGTTTAATTGCAAAAGGCACAGAAAACACAGTTCGAACTGTACGGCCGAGCTGTAATTCAGTGTACTAAAATGGAGATTCTGTATTATTTTACCATCCTTTTGCACCCCTGCGAACGTCCTCGTACATCTCTCTCAGCTTCTCCGAATCTGGAATTAAAGCTGAAACAGAAAAAAAGTGTGATCTGATTAAAATTCAAACCAAAACGCCAGCAATGACGGGCCCAAAGTCATTTTTCCTATGTAACTTTCTGTGGCGTTGATAATGAAGGGTGAGGCTGTACTGGAGGGCTTTCTACACGCTTTTGAGAGGAAGGAAATAATACAGACGAAAAGCTGCGTTCAGTCTGTCAGCCACTATCCCCCTCCTCCGATTTGGTCTTGTATACAAGAGTCTAAGGTTCAGGTTGTGTTCGAGTGCACTGTTTACGTGGCCCACCCTAAGCCGTCAGTGGTCATCAATGACCGTTGTCGAGAGCCCTCGCACAACTTTTTTCCCACATGGGAATTTTTCACCACTGTCCTGAAAGATTTCCTGAGGTTGACCAATTTCCCCAGTGATCTACTCTAGGATTGTCCTTTGAATGTGCACATTTTTTCTTATATGATTGCAGGTAATAAGTTCATGTTGATAATAGTCAGTGTTCTCGTTGGAAACTCTAAAGACCTTCTTCAGACTCTGCATCATCATCACAAGACCTCCAGGCAGAATTCAAGTTACGAGCAGATGAACGGAAACAAAGCATTCTTTGTTGGTGTTCACCGTGTTACGTAAAGTCTGGTCTTCAGACTGGTTTTGTGACTGACATTTTGGTATGAAGATTCTCAGTTCCCAAACGATAGTCTCTATGCCACGTCGTCATGCGCACTTGCTTCGTGTTAAAAGAGCCAGTGATTTCTGTCCTTTATCTTTTTTTTCTGCCCAGGGGCCACCGATTCATTAATTACCTTTTTTAAGTTCACCGTTTCCTTTCATCTTAAAAAATCAAAACTTTTTAAGTTGGCCTTCAAATTCTAGATTTTCCAAAACTTTCTTTCAGTTCTCTTTTAATTTCAGGCCCGTAACTAGGGTGGTGCAGGGGGTGCGTCCGCATGGTTAATATGTGCAGTGTGCATGGTTAAACTGATGAAGTGACATCGCACGAACCAGATAAGCTGTCATGACTTGCCCAAGGGTGCACTGAACCAATTCAAGCTCCATTGAAAATAGTGTAAAGTCAACCAGGTTTGGAGCCCCATGGCAGGCAACTGAAGTCCCTGAGGCCTCTCAAACAAAAAACAATGTGTTGTTTAATCCTTCAGGTTTCATTTGATTTTCAATTTTTAGTAGGTTAACCAATGAATTTTTTAATTATCCGCCCAAAACAAACTCTCCCCCAAAAAGTGAATGTTGCAAAGCCCTCCCAGCGGCCATTTTTCAAATGACATCCCTTACCTTCCTCGGGCTCTTTTGACTAATTTTCAATCCCATTTTTATCTGCTTTGCCCCCAGATGGGTGCCCCTGAATCTACAGAGATGATCCTGGGCCATATTGACAAAATTCCACCATTTCTTGGCCCAAACAGACCCCTCTTTTTGAAACAATCTCTTGGGGGTACTTTTTGTGCGCCTCTGCCTGGCGGAGAATTTTCCTTGATTTGGGACACTGCACCCCTAAGTGCGCGCACGCTCGAGGATGTGCGCGTGAGTGTGATCGCCCCACAGGAAAGGCGTCTCATCAGATTTGTCAACAGGACAAAATACCTGCTGAGCACGATAGCCTGTCATATATCACCGCAGCCACACAAGGACCCACGGTCGCGCCTTAATTGTTCCCGAATGACCTTACTTTTTTTTTACCGAACTGGCACACTGACCAGAAGACACAATAGTTATACCTTTCAGCAATTATATGCAGAGCACCTTTTGCACACTTCTGAGTTTCTCAATAGAAAATAACCTTGCCACACCACTGTGATAAACCACTGGAGCTCCATTTTGAACAATGCCTTTAGTGAAGATTTCATGCAGGAATTCGTTGTAACCCCCCCCCCCTTTATAGAATTCTCCATGGTCATTTCGGGAAGAAAATATAGTATGGTGTTTTCTGACTGATAGAGGGATTGCGCTTCACGTTTTGAAATAGTGTCCTGGCGTGTCAAGGGAGCTATTACCGAGTACCAACTGGAAGGGGTCAATCAATTGCAAGACATTTTGTCAAATAGTTGACTGATAGATCACACAATGACCTTAAAGAGGACTGTAACCAAAAACAACTACAAAAAGGTACAGTGCATGTTAAAAGATACCTATCCATTATGCTATTTATTCGGTTCCATAAATTGGTGTTATATTTATTTCGCTTTGTTTTGATTAGCATAGGCCTGCATATGTCCCGGCGTTGTAAACCAACCGAAGGGCTTCTTATCACGTACATATAATTTTAACTATGAACGGTTCACACGTCCGACAGATTTTATCTTCTGTTTCATACCAACGACCCTGTCTGAAACCAGTTTTGTCGTCGGGACCACCAAAAGACTAGACACAAGACCAGACACAAGACCATGCACAAGACCGTGCACAGGCCCAGTCACAGGTAACAGTGAAAACAATGGCATAGCTTGTGACTTGAATTCAGACTGTGGAGGTCTTGTGTTTTGTACTTGTGAAAGCCTTAAATGGTCTCGACTACAACACTGTCTGAAACATGACCCTAAAATCAAATAAGAAAAAGGTTCCTCTTTCCGTTTCTGTGGACACAAAATGCCGACTTTACTGTTTCGCGAATACTATATCCGAGACAAGCATATTTGCATGAATAAAGAAATATGTGTCGTAATTAGTATACCACATACAAGAATTTCCAAGCTCAACTTATCTTAAAAGTGTCTGTTAAGTCTGGATTGGCACTGACAGCAGGAAAACCTTTTCAACTGCATTGCCACGAAACGAACTCACCCTGATTTCTCGTCATCTCAAGGGCCCGGAGGAGGTACCGAAGCTCCTCCACCTGGCTTCCGAAAGCAAACCCAATTACACATGCCAAAATGATGAAACGGAACATCTTTTCCACCAGCAGAAACCACGCGTGTGCAAAGCAATGTCTGGGCCGTTCAACCTAAGCACCTGGTACTGCCAAACACTTGCTCCGAAATCTGGCTTTGGGAGAATCAGTTAATGACCTTTTGTTGATGTTCTGCTTGTCCTTTTCTGCTGTGGAAGACGTGCATTTCAAAAATATCGATCGACCGTGAAAGGTCACCATGCATGAAGAAAGCTTGTGTATACCGATGGGGAGTTTTTGCGTATTGCTACAAAATTTACCGTCATATTGAACTGTTCACCATCTGAGTTCACTGCATTTTGAAAAATCAAGAAAACGTTCGTCACATTCAACGATTAAAGCGCAGCTCGTCTCCCACGTTTCAGCCGCACTTTAACCCGCGAATGTCTTTCAAAGGTGTACATGCACTTCTACGTGATAATGAGGCCTCGTTGTATTGATCGCGATACGGCAGAAATTATTTTGTGGCGTATGTAGAGGTGGTCATCAGATGAGAGGAATGTAGGAACTAGCTTAAAGATCTAGGAAGTCAATTCAAAGTGTAATTTGAAGGGATTATGACCACTCTCAAAACAACCCAGTCGAAATATTGACTGATTTCCCCAGTTGTTCAAAATTGACTACGTATTCAGTCAAACACCCACGCTTACATTGGCAAATCATGCTTTCTGACAAGATTCCTATTCGGTGTCTTTTGAAATATCAATGAAGTGACTGAAAAAAATCTAGTCAGGTTGACTACTTTCCAGTTGCACCCAGCTGAATGTCATTCTCTTATACATGTACGGCTTGCTGCATATCTGTTAAAGTACTAAGGCCAAGACTTCGGAGCTCTTAACTGGCACTGTGAACATCTAACAAAAGAAGCACGGTGCAATAGCAATGGACGCTCAGTGTTAGTGCTCTGTTTCTTTTGTTAAATGTTCTTGTGTGATACTTGTCCTAAATTATCGTCAATTTTACATTTGACTGACTTGCATGACAACTTGAATGTTGTGGTGGAGTATTGTGAAAGCCACCATACGTGAAATCGGTTAGTTTTCATACTGTGGTCATTCCCACAAAGACCAACATCTACTTGTCGAAATGGAACAAACACGTTTTAGAATTTTATTTTCCATTCTTTTGTATTTGTACGCGACATACCGGTTTGTAGTACGCTGCCTATGTAAAGCCAAGAAGTATATTAAAACTCAAAAAGTTAATAACTATCACGCACAGGCACTTCTTTTTCAGTCTGTCCCGTTGAGTATTTGGAACTCGTATAAGAATGTACAAGTATAAAAGGGAAACCCTGAATTCCATCTGTACAACTAGCAGGATGAAAGCTCTGCACGGACACAAAAAATTACATATGTCTCCATATAATTTAAAGGCAGATATCTGTCTCTGTTTTTCAAGCGATGCGTTATTTTGAAATATGTTTGATCGGTTTCTTTTTGACATGAAGTCTGGATGCTAGACTTGTAACATTGCATTGGGGACACATTTACTGGAAGGGGATACAAGTACGTTGGGCAGGAAAACAATTCAGAAGGACACATATTCACTGGGTTGCGACCACAGTCGTATAAAGTTACGGACGGGCAGCTCTTTCAAAACAACGGTGGGGTACCGTAACCAAGACGGCACCCAACTAAATCAAAACGCGTGGGCAAATTCATCTCCGGGTGTCCACTCCGAGGAGGAACAAAAAGGAATGAAACTGTAGTCCTTTGGTACACATTCCCGCATAGACGCGCAAGTTTAAGTGCGTTTGACGCGAAGAACGCGCAACGAAGGCCACGTCCCAATCTCGGCTCCATTAGCTGCCTTTACTAGCCCCTGGTCGTTTCGAATTCGAAAATGATGCTGACTGGCTATTAAGAATGAATATACATAAACCTAAAGTCAATCGCAATCGCATCAAAGGCTACACGCTCGCACACCGGTATTCTCCTGCACCTGGCCCGTGCAGATTGCGCAAGACGCAAGACTGGGGGTCTATGCGTTTATATGCCTACATCTGTGGTTGTGACCCCGTAAATGTGTTCGGGGAAAACATCTACAGGCGAGGGAGCACACGACCTTCAATACCGGCAGTCATGACACAGCTAGTACTTTTTTTGCGGTGGTTACCATTCAAATAAAATCTACTAACCATAAAGGGGAGAAAAACCGAGGGGAGATCAGGTCCCGATAGAACTCGAAACGATTTGGGGGTTTTGTGCCAAAATTAAAGCGCATATTTAGGTGTTAGCAAATCATTCCCGAACGGAACTTAATGTAAGTACAGCTTTTTCAACACCAATATTGGCCAGAGTTTCGGATAGTAAATTTTGCTGTCTTTACTTTTTTGTTCTCTCTTAGGGGATCATTTCCAGTTTAGGAGACGCCAAACATTTAATCTTTAAGAGGAGTTGACGGTTAGTGCAAAAATAGTTCATTGTGTTTTAATGGCTCCCTGGTTCCTTTTTGGTGAAAACTACCCTTAGTGCATGATTGCCTCTGACAACCCAATTTACAGCCAATGCGTGCAAAGTTTCATGCCACTGACCATCTAAACCGAAGTAAGGCTGCATCCAAACCCATGTTTAATATTGTATGGCCAGGCTGTCGCCCACAGCTTTTGTGCGGGAACACGCCGATTGTCACAATTAACTTTATTTACGAGGCCGTCCATATTGAATTTGAAAGCGAGGTTAATTCTTCATTTTGAATGTTGAGAGTACAAATGAAGCAATAAAATGAAAATCATGACAAATTGGCACCTGTTTACTCTGATGAATACTTTCAAATTCATGATTGAACGCACAGAATTGTACACTGCCAGGCTTTGAATGCATGGAAGCATAAAACAGGCCGGTGCCATCCTAATGGACAGTTTGCAAATTATATAAAACAGATTTGGGGAATAAGATATTAAAGAATGACCTCCATGTGAATAGGGTCTATATACGTGACTGTACAGCTCCTGAAGCTTGTTTCGGCCGTGAACTTATTTCGATGGAAAAAGGCCATTTTTAGAACCCGTACAAATGCAGATTTTGTCATTTACAGCTCATGAACGCTCTGATTTACACCAATGTATCCAATTAGCTATCTTGACTTATTATATCCACTCAATTTTATAGTGAATCTGAAATGTGCACGGTTGAATGGGTTCATGATAATTGAGGATACAAAACAGAATCCAGAATGCGGCTTCATACAACATTATGTCAACACACACGTAACTCAAGTGAGATAAATAACAGATAAAATAACAAACAAAACTTGAATGACGAGTCGGCATACTTTGTCACACAAACAGGCCTTTTAGTGTTTGATGAGATTCCATTGTCGTTTATTTTATCCCCCAAAAATCAAAACGTCAGTCTCGTGCTGCATGCAATTACCAAATAAGTTGCAAACGAAAATACGTGGATAAGGATTACATGTACATACTTACAAAAAGAACTGCTTTTCCTTAACTACCACCAGGCGGAAATAAAATGAAAAAATCCAGAAACTACCTATTATAAATTTCTATAAAATTAGACCTTGCCGATTGTCCCTACAATAGGGCAATGCACTGTACTAGATGATTGGGTTTGGACAGAGTAACTGTTACGGAACAGTGGCTCTGTTATCAAGGTTTCTATTTTCACTGACGGGGCGGTTTTAGGCAATGGGGTGTAATAATGGATTTAGCACAATGTAGAGCCCTCGGTTCTTCGTTTGTGTTTGTCACTGTGAAAGTCTTTGGAAATCTGTGCACAGTAATACATTGGAAAAGAATAGGAAAATACCCCTTTGTAGATTCCATAGCGGTATATGGAAGAATCTATCAACGCTTCACTGAACCTTACCTATACGGCCCTCTTTTGATACCGGAAAGGGGGTCTTTGTTTAAGAATTCCTTCGTACCAAAGTTTCCATGGGCGTAAATCCCAGAAGGATTGGGGGTATATGCCCCCCCTTTGAGGTGGGAGATGGGCTATTGAATCATTTGCGCTGCACACTTTTTCGTGGTGAGCAAAAATATGAAGCGGATTGAGAAGAATTTTTCGGAATTTTCAACGGCTAAAATGTATTCATTATTGGAAACAATAAATAAACATACATATGCCATTCTGATGTATTATTGATGTACACCTATATCACAACTGGCAAGTCACCCCCCCCATCCCCCATCTCCCAATTCCTGGCACAAATTTACGCCATTGATACATGCTTATCACCAACGACCATTGATGGCGCTGCTGTGGTAACATGATTCGTCTATACTGTCACTGCACTGCATGCAAGACCAGAGTGGTGCAAGTGGAACGACTGACTTAGACCCTGTGACAATTTCATAGTATTAATGACACTGCAATGGCATTGACACTGTCAATGTAGCAATGCTACATCTGGGCTCTGAGGTATCGTTCGGGCGGCCCGTTCTTGGCACGGGTATTGCACTCAAACGGAGGGAACGCGACCGCAGAACACTGTTCTCGGAACTAGATAACACACGTCACGTCCTCATCGGGGTTTCTTGAGAGCTGCAAAAATGGCGACATGGCCGACAAAACTGGAGATTATGGCAACGTTTTATAATTTTCCATGAAACAGAAACGGATTTTCCGTTTATATAGGAAAGAACGTAGCCTAGAAATCCAAACGTTAATCTTTGAAACGGTACGTTGACGCTGCCATCATGTTGCATGTCGCTTGTTACTCATACCAGCGAGAACCGAGTGTACGTTCCCAGCAACCGAGCGGTCGCCCCGTCAACTACACATCGAAATGTTCAGCTAACACGCCGCCCAAACTCAGCGTGGATGGACGATCTCTAGTCTTAATTTTCAGCGTAAGGATGGGTACTGTATATAAAATGGATGCGTACATGGTTCGGAAGCTGCTGGGTGACCGAGGAGGGGGGAATGGGGTACTGGGTGAGGTGGGGTGTTGGGTGGGTAGGGTGTTGGCTAGTTGGGTGGGGTGTTGGCTAGGTGGGTGGATAGGTTTGGGGTTTTTTGTGTGTGTGATTGTTTTAGGAACTGAACGCCAGCACTTCAGAAAGTGTCTGCGCAGATACAGGGGGTGACTCTTTTGAGGGTATATCAATTTGCTTCAACACAAACATTCAAAAATGCACCTTTGTGTCTTAATTAACCTTCTTTTCATTTTTGGTATTATTTTAAATGATATTTCACTGCTAATCGGTATTCATGCTAATAGTATTTCCATATTCATGAGCAAAACTGTGATGTCATCTCAGGAAAAAAGCCTCAATGTTACATTGGCTGGTACACAAAAAAGTTTTGCATTTTTGTATGACTCCATTTTCTCTTCTTTGCTGATTTTTCATCGTTGTTAATGTGCACGGCAATAAGCAATCATCAACCCCTTTCTGAGAAATGTTTCCAGTAAGTAAATCCTGGGTCCAGTATTTGACAAGAAGAACTTTGAATTCAACTACATGTATGTCTTCCACAGACATATAAACGCATAGACCGCCAGGTCGCATTCATATACATGAGCATTTCCTTGATCAATGCAGCACCTGACTAAATCGAAACTACGGGAAAATTCACCCCTCCAAACATAAAGGGAATTTACGCACAGTTGAAGAATTCCAGCCATAAAATTCTATGGAGCCACTTTCCTATGTAAAAAAATCCTCCGTTTACTTAATCTGGCCCGTGCAGATTTGAAACAATGTTGTTGTAACACATGAAAAGATGACGCGCAGTCATCCAGCACCGTCTCGCCTCGCCATTATTGTTTGCCTGTAGTACTTTTCATATAATCACGGTTATATGAGAGGATCACGGCAAGTCATCTATCGTTAAAAAATCACACGAAACAGATCACGTCATCCAGTGGCATCAAGCACAACTCATCACCAGAATCAAGCAATAGCACCCTCGACGTATACGCGAGGCCACAAAGGACGCGATATCGTTTCCAGTATTTTAACCCTAACAGTCCCAAATCCCCCAATTTCAATATGATTTTACATACACCCCAGGGGGTTAGGGATAATGGAGGTCAATGGTACAGGGCGCTGAGGCTGTATGACGCCACTGCCCAAAGTCATGAACAACTAGATCAATATTCCTCGCTGAAATGCTTGAAATATGAAAGAATTTTATGCAAATAGCTTGAAAAAATCAACATTTTTTTGTCCCAAACTTTACACACAAGATGCCATTTTTTAGGATCCCACAATTTCGTTACACTATGTCTTTGGGAACAGTGTGACGAGCAGCTCCATGGATCAACGGTGCCGGTGTGCGGGGAGAAGCATGTCTCGTGTATGGTCCAGCGGTTTCAAAATTAATTGCCAGGTGTTTGTTGGGCCTGGTTCAGTACCAAGAGAAGATAAACCTTTTCATCTGCATGCCAGACAACGAACTCACCCTGATTTCTCGTCATCTCAAGGGCCCTAAGGAGGTACCGAAGCTCCTCCACCTGGCTCCCAACAGCAAATCCAACTACACATGCCAAAATGAGGAAACGGAACATCTTTCCACCAGTCCCAGCAGAAACTACGCCTCTACAAAGCAATGTCTGCAGCGTTCAGCGTCACCACCTGAACTGCCAAACACTTGCTCAAAAATGTGGTTGTTGATTTTCTTTTTGTCCTGATCTGCTTTTTAAACATAATGTAGACGCACCTTTCAAAAATTAGCCAGCCGTGAAACATGACAACGGTAAAGGGTAATGTATATACATCCTTCACCTTTTGCATATACAATTTACTGTCTGGGAGGCTCGATATACAGTGTCTGCGATTCCATTGACTTGTTTCATCGTTGAGTTCACTGCTCTTTCGAAAATCAAAAGAATGTTTATCACATTCAGCAAGTTATGCGACGCTAGTCCGTGCTCGTCGTATAGTGTTTGGGCCGCACATTACAGCCGTGCATGTCCCATTTCGAGTGTTATTGCCAATGCGGCTACTTTAATCGCGCTACGGAACAAACTATTCTAAAATGTTCACTTTTTTGGGAAACAACTGTGGAGAAAGTCAGTAGATAAAGGATATTACAGGGATTAGTTTAGAGAGAACAAGGAAGTCAATTCAAGTGTGTTTTCAAAGACTAGTACAAGAATTTGTGTTTCTCGTATATGCATGGGTTGCTGATTAACTTTTAAAAGTAAACAAAGAGGGCGCAAACACCCTCTGTACACACTTGCGGTATGCACGCCATCATTCATTACGGACTGAAAATGTTGACAAAATGAAGGAAGTAATGGAATTACACATATCTTTAAAGAAAAAAGCCAGGCCCACCTCAATTCGCTCCTTTCCCGGGTGAGAATCCAGTGAATGTGCCCTTTTAATGGCTAAAACCGTGCGATAAAGCTTCTTTAAAAGACATTTACACGCTAAGCAAAATTAGGCCGAGACCGAGTCACGGGTAGTGCGTTGTGTGTGACATTTCTGATAGTAACCTGTTTTCTGCTTAACAAATATTTTTTCCTCTTTGCAAACTTCCGCACATAAATGAAGAGTTGCTCGAGAGCTGGTAATAGAAAGGCTCCTTAAGAGTGCAATTCTTGCACACGCATTTAACAAGTCATCTAAAACTTGCTGCATTAGGCAAACTGTTGCATAATGTCGGCTTTCGCATCATCCTTCTGGATGCTCTTTGCACGGTGAAAGTTTCTACAGCATCCAACAGTTCAATTATGCTCTCGAGCAAACCACCTGTATACAATTTGCTTTTCTTGTAATACAAGAAAGGTTTTGAGAATAACTTAATGTCCCGGGTAATTACATGTAAAAGATTTCTTAGAGATTGAGGGAACCATCACTACAATTATCAACATACCTGTATATTGTAAAAGTTTGATGTTTCACATAGGATTCTATTTCTCATATCCTTTAACAGCAGTATCGCCATTACTTTTTTGACAGTGGATAAATGATGTTTTACCATGGAGCTATTAAACACAGGGATTTCGAACAAAACCCCTACCGACCGTAATCCGATTAACTGCCCCGGTCGGCTCCATAGACAAAGCGCGGTTACCAGCCCCAGTGTTGGAGATCCGTGACTTTCTTTGTACTCAATGATTGCTACCGCCGGGTAGCAGGTAACCCACAGACTCGCCGTGTTTCCCTGCGGCATACTGGAGTAAATAAATGGTGGAAAAAGATGCACGAAGAAGATGCGTAGTTCTCTTCTGTAGTCCTCAGGAGTCAGTGCGTGATCCCCGCAGATGCACTGGAAAATTCTGAATCAGCAATTGTTATTTTGCAAAAGGTCGGACGTTTTTTAAGTCAGTTGTGACATTTTGCAGTTCCGGCGGTAGAGAAGAAATGCCCAAAATACGAACTGCGATATTTATATAACAAGTGGCAATCCTAGTGGTTCCTACGGTTAAAAGAAGGTGGAAACATGCCCCAGGGATGCATTTGACAACGTGGTGAGGTTTCAGGCCGAGACAGTTGTTGACAATGACAGAAAGGACAACAAATCTTCCCACGTTTTTGTGCGTTTTTTATTTTCCTCTGGACCAGCTACATTCTTTCAGTTTTCCTGAGCGTATTTTTGGAGAATTTGTATTAGTTAGTAATTCTTTTTATTGTTAAGAGGGACTTTGGGGGATGTAAAGACGTAACCAGACTTTCATAGTCATTGGAATATCACAACAATCACTAAAATTATCGACATTTAAGTCTCCGACGACGGTGGTTTGCGTCTCAAGGCGGCCATGTTGAACATGCGGAAGTGTAACACGCAGGCGCGGTACCCACGATCCTTTGCAAATGCAACTCCGAGCATTCCTTATAGCCCACAACTGTCCATGCAACACGTGTAGTGCTGGCGGTGGCCATCATTGACCCTTTTGATCTCTGTAAGTGCTTACTCCTTGTGTATAATAGCTTCATGGTTTTACTGAAAATAGGTCTAAAATAGTAGCACTGCCCCAATTAAGAGACCCAAAGACACAAACGCACGTCTAGGGTGAGCTTTTTTGTTGCTGTTCCTGAGCCTTTAACCCTAAAATAACCAGGGGAAATCCACCTCTGACATTTTCTCTGAAAATGTCCCAAAGCATTTCAGTCGGTATATTTCCATTTCAGTCATTTTGACGCCACTTTTTTAAAAAGCGGTCATACACCTACCCTTCTCGAGAAATGCCCATTATTCTGAGACAGGCCAGCTACAGTTTTCCCATTCATAATGCTCAATGAGGCAGACCGTTCATGTGAGGCCATGAACTTCAATGACTATAACAAAAACAAAGAACTTAAAAGTAGGTCAGACTGAAGCTATGCTCATAATGGGTGAGTTTATGTGCATACCAAGTTTCACTATGATTGGACATAGGCCAGCCGAATTCGAGGGGGGGGGGAATCTTCCTCCTCCGGATTGTGAGGTGGTCCGACAAAGCCATGGTTCTTTTGGGATGAAATGTCAAAGGTTCAATCTTACCAGAATGCGAGCACATCCCACAAGTCTGCATCTTTTTTCGGCGGGTACATGAGGCATTTTTTTGGTTTACTTAGCCCATCTTTGTTGACAACAGACTACATGTATTTCTATAGGGTTTTGACTGTACAAACTCTTTTGAGTCAAACTGTAAATGGCCTTTGAATACACTGCCATCCCATCACAGCGTGTTCAATCAAAAGGGAAAAAAGGAATAAAGTTTACAAATTCACATGACGGTGATTTTTTTTCTAGTCTCTATCTAATTCTTCAAAATAAACAAAGTAAGCCAAAAAAGAACTGATGGGAACATGGTGGAGGCCACCAACAGACATTAAGTTGACGTGAACCATGAACCATAAACAGTATGTGACCAAACCTAACAAAATGAACTGTAAGTTACTAGGGCCTGTTTCGAGTCCTGCAACACCTGAACCCATGAGAACTGAATCCATGGACAATCAGTACACCATGGCTGCATGCTGAACTGCTCATATAATGAACAGTCGTTTTGTTTCCAAAGGCAACTCTCTCTATATAAAACAGCTCTGGCCCTCTCCAGTCTTTAGAACGGTAAAGCCCACTTACATATACACGTACATGCACATATCTTATACAGACACTGATGTCCCATATAAAGGTGCAGTCCCACATTTGCAGCTGTCCTTAAAGGAACTGAATGAATTGTTGAAAGGAACATTTCATTTATTTAATTACAGTTATTGGACTACAGTCCCTGTGATATTATTCTTTCAGGCAGCCTTCCATTTTGAAGAAGCAGCAAGAGAAAGCAATTTCCAACAATGTGTCTAAAGACACATTCTTAGAAATTGCCATAAGGCGCTTATTTTTTATTGGCGAAGGTTTGCATGATGGACAGGCAGGTGCCATTGCTAAATATAACTCACTGGTCCAGTGCTCAACATCATGTAGCAGCAATCAGCTAAAGGAGAACATGTCCTGGATGCTGAACTTTGGGCGCAATTCAAAACATTACCACGCAACTTTTGATTTGAAACCAGCATCCTAGAACAATCTTTTTCTCCGCATATACGGCATTCACGGAGCTTAAACTCGGTGAGATTAGTTTGAAAGCACCCTTCTTTCAATTTTGAACATTTTCGTTGCCTAAAATGAAAAACAATGAAATGACAAATATCGGACTTTGCCTTTAAGTCAAAGGGGATTTTGCTCAGCTATGTGCCCATCTCGGGCTATGTCTCAAACATCAAAACCACTTGCTCGGCCTACAATGAAGGATGTGGTTCTGGTACCCAAAAAACAGGACTCATTATTGAGCTAACAACTTCAAAGTCACAGGGTTAAAAATCAGAGGAAGCCTGAGGTACTGACAAAGCCAAGAATGGGAAAAGCCCCAGAGAGTAGTGAGTCATTGGTTTCTCGCATGGAGGAGATTTGGGAGGATTCGGGAAGTTTCCTTGCAAAAAAAAAAAAAAGCCGGAGGGTTCAGGATAAAGCGTGCAGAATATTTAATGTGGAGCAACTGCGTCAGACGGCTTCAGATTTTGGCCTTGAGTGGGCCGCCCGTCAGATGAGCCGTCAGCCAAAAGATGAAGACCGGCTGGAGCACAGCGATGAAGAGCAGCAGGTACAGGCGTCGTTTGTTGCCGTGGCCGATGCTGTCCTCATGGGACTCAGGCAGAATGATCAGCTTCATGTTCCGCACCTGCATCATCATCAGCACCACCGAACATGTCATTACTCATTACTCAAACGCATTCATTTTTTTAACTCCTTCATTCTACAAATTCAGTAACTGACTTTGTCTAAGCCACTTGATGGTGCTGGTATTATTCCAAACCAGAGTTGTCCCGGGTGAAGTATCACTTTCAGCTGCAAAGACTGACTTTTGAAAAGTGACACGTATACTACAACCACAGTCCTTTGCAAATGCTGACCTTTGGTGGTCATATGATCAAGATTTGTGCAACTTTTTTTTATTTTGATTTTTTGACACTCCAAGACCACGTTTCAGAGCCACATTTGCTACAAAACCATGCACGAGGGCTCCATCCATGCTCAGCTTCCAAGGACTAGCTTGAGCCTCTACGTGTGAGCAAACACAATGGAAATTAAGTGTAAGGACCAGCCTCACAGCATCACCTGTACTGCATACAGAACTCACCTGAACACATTTAAACATCTCCCATGTTACAGCACAGGGAACCTTGCATATTCACACGTCATCCAGTGTGAAGGAGTTAAAACCAACAGTGTATAAAGGTGACACAATTCACAGTGGATTGCACATTTTCAAATCACGCTCCAGATGAAAATTTGCTGCATTCCCACAAGGAATACATCATCAGTGTGCACACAAGGACCAGTGTTCCCATTCAGGAACAGGTCTCGTTCAAAGAAGGCACAGTGGGCGGTCCTCATTGGAACAAGCGATACTTTTGATGGACCATTCTGTGAAGTCTCAATTTTGAGGACATTCCAAAAACCTGCTTACAAGTGCCTGACCGACATTTTCATGTATCATTTACTGACCTGTAATAGCTTAAGGACTAAGCATTACATACATTTTAAAAAGACCGCCTGTTCTGTTCACACGTTCACATCACTGGATCAAGGCAAACACATGGATAGTAGGTATTTCTCACTCACCACAAAGAACATGATGGATACGCTGGAGTAAAGCAGAGCAATGTAGTAACCAATGGACTGGAATAGAATACTGGCAAGAAGACACACAATCATTCTGTAACAAGAAGGAACAGGACAAAGGAAAACTGAGAGAAATTCAGGTATGCTGCAATATTGTCACTGATGCTGATTAATGTGTCTGTGTTCAACCAACCAAGGCCACCACACTTAATTAGGGTGAATTCGTTGCTACAACCAATCAGACCTATATGTGGGGGTACCGCCACAATTTCAGATTAGAGGCCATTTTGGTTCCGAAGTCCACAACCCACTTAAGGCACAAACAATCAACTGTCTGACCTAAATCCATCCCTTGTCAGATCACCCTGACTGCGAAGCATTTTTCTGATGGATTAGTGCATGCTCACGCTCAACAGCCTACAATTTCCGAAGCAACAAATTGCCATACACCTCCATGCATAAAAATAAGGCCGAAGACCTTGACACAATGTATCCATTCAAATCAGTCACAAAAAGTCCTCAAAACCACTTGGAGGATTTGGGCAGGTTGGGGTGAATGAAAATTGACCTCCCTCTGCATCAAGGCAAATGTCAATCTGTTTCGACTACTGCAGGTTACAGTGGCTAGATGCATTTGCTCAGCAAACAAGCAATAATGATCTGTGCTAAGCATGTCTCTATGCTGAGCTGGTCCGTGAAATTGGACCAAGGGCCGTGTGTCAACCACTTGGCTGCACATCTCTATGGGAACTAGATGTAGCCTTAACCACAGACTCTTGCATAATTTCAAGCCATAGCCAAGCAATTCGGCCACAGTTCCTACTTCCACAAAAAATGCTGGGCCTAAGATGTTGGCTCACCCAACATATTTGTAGCCACAGAATGCCACCAGGTCTAGCTTCCGGAGTGCAGTGTGGATGTTCATGACGTACAGTGTCAGGAGCACAGCCACAATCTCTATGATCAGCCAGACCAGAGCTGTGCTGGCTTGCATTCCCAACTGCTCAGGGCTGAACCTAAACAACAAAGCAAGAAAAGTGCGTTCACAGTCACTTGTGCTTTGCTCTCAAAATCCTCCAGTTGGAGCCTGGCAATAAACTGTTAAGATTATAAGATTCAACCCTTTTTCATCAGGTTCAAGTTGCCAAGTCCAACCACATTTTTGGCTGAATGTTAATATGGCTGTTGTGACTTTCAATATTTCCTGCAAGCCACGTACTTTCATTTTTAGTAATAAAAATGAATTCTGCATCTGTGCCAATTCTTTAACATCAATGTAGATTAGAATGTTTCCTGCACCAACTGTATCTGTCATTAGAAATGTCTTCATTTCATGTCAGACGCAGGGAATTTGCAGTATTCCCTTTGGAAACACACCATTCATGAGTACTTCACCCATTCGGGAACATGCTGATGTTATAATAATATAAAAGTATTTCAAAGGCACATGAAATCTCACAGTATCCGTCATTCAAAGGTGCTGATATCATCATTATCCCTGCACACTGGAGTCACATAAGAAAATTCCCAAGACTATCTCAGCTCCCCGGGAAGCATATTAGCCCAATGCAAAACTTAGTTGCCCTCACAAGTACCTATTTACTCCAGGGTGGCAGAGAGGCACACATTCAGATCTCAGTAGGTACGAGGATGTTTCCTGATTGGAACAAGCAACGTTCTCCCTTGAATGCTCTTAATGTTCCAACTTTAAAGACGCTCTATTATCTTCACCCTAGACCTCTTTCAAAGCTGTTTCATAGAGGGGAAAATCTTGTGCCAATCTAGGTCCAAGCAATGTCCTCATAACTGATAAATATGTGGACCTCTTTGGTCTTCATGGGGTCCACACAAGGTGGCAACAAGTGCACACCCTTCAGGACTTACCTATCTTGTCTTCCCAGTGCAACTCCAGCCAGGAGTATGTAGGTGACAAGCCCCATGACGGGGATATAAAGGTCTGGTGCGTTCACCTCATACCTGGGTGCCACTGGCTCATCCTGCTGGTAATTAATTGCCCATTCCTGCCAGCAAACAATTACAGACAAAACAATTATCATCTCTAGCCCTTCCTCGACTGTTACAACATCCTAGAGGCTTGGGAAGGTTTTGCTTGACTTTTGAAAGCCTGTCCAAAATGAACCACGATTAGTTTCGGTGTGACTTGGTAGTTGGTACCCATTTAAATTTATGCGGAAGGATGCCGTTACGGATACAAGCACTTGCCAAGGATTCTGGATGTCTCTGGAAAGTTCCAGACAAAGTTTCCTTGGGAGTCACAGTGGGCACTAGCAGCCCCAACTTTCCTAACGTGATTCTGTTCAGTTATCCAAGTGTTGAACAGATCAAAATTTCCCAAGTATAAAGAAAGTAAATAAACTCTGAGAAATTACGGCGGAGTTCACAACAGAGCAGGAATGCCTACGACTTGACAGCCAACATGGTAGTGAACAAGGGTGCTAAGACCAGAGTAATAAGGGTTTTTAACAACAATACTGAGACAGTATCTGACACGAGTTCCTCACATTGAATGATCTAAATCGTTAGAGGTCTCTTTTGCAGATAAATATTGGCACCGACTAATTGCGGCAAGGGATCTGCTTACCGTATGTGTGAAAGGACAGAGAAGGATGGCTAGCTTCTTGGCCACATACGTTGTGTCCACGGCAAAATAGTATTTGAGCTTGCTCAGAGACATGAACCTGTCAAACTGTGAAATAAAAGCTAGGTGTCACCACGCAATCTTCCTTTCATTTTTCAGGTTTTTTTGACGCAAACGCCGACAAGCTTATTTCATTGCGGCATTTAACCAACTGGTGAAGTGGGCTGTCCGACTGTTATGGATATGGCCGGCAATGACGTGAATGCATGCGTGTTCCTATGGAAGCCAGTGACTGGCAACTGCAAGCCACTTCCTATAGACAAGTGTGCTTCTCCTAGCCACAGCCAGTTGAGCTGGACATTCTTTATACAGGCTTTATGACTTCATACTGAAAAACAACTTATCTCAAGATTAGGAGCTGTGGAAAATTCAATGAAACGAAAAGGCAATCTTTATTAAATATAACAGGAATTTCACATTCTTACAATACATTGAAATTTGATTTTACTCAACTGTGAAATCTCTTCAAAAGTTTCTTCCCATGTACAGAGGTTGTGCAAGGCAGCCATTTTTGCGGTATGGGCTTTTGTTCCACAGGGACCTGTGCTATCCCTCCGTAACACAAGCAGTTATCAGAAAGATGGTTGCCATGCACAACCTCTGCTGGATGCAAAAAAGATTGGTACCAATTGCTGTGGGTACACTCTATTTTATCAGCAAATTTAGGGGCCATGAGCACATCAATACAGGCGATTCACAATAGCGCGCCTCCAAGAGTTTGCAATGCGTTGGCCAATCACAATGTAGGAAATCTGTCGACCCAATGCGCATTTGGAAAGGGTCAACAGATTTCACGTGTTGTGATTGGCCAACGTGTTGCAAACTCTTGGAGGCGCACTATCGTGAATCGCCCGTATTGTAAAGTCGAGAAACTTGAGCATTGCCCAGCCTTTAAAACACACAGAGAATATTTCTGCACCAGACAAGGAAGGAATGGATACAGAGGCCTGAACATGTGATCAGCCTGCACCACTGTAGATCAAATCTAGCATAACTGGAAATGACAAACCCACTGTCTCAGAAATAAAGGCCTCCTCAAGGAAAGTACCCCTCCCTTGAGACTGCATATTGCACTTTTGACCCACAACTGTTCCAAGGGTGCCGTCAGGCAGACGTCACCCTGGTTACAGTACCTGTTTCTCCACGACATCCTTGCCGTGGTCAGCCAGACTGGCCCCGTACTGCATGGCCATGTTGGCCATTGGGTCATTCATCAGCTGCTGACCGGGGTACATCATCCCTGGCGGCTGCTGCTGCTGCTGGGGCTGGCCATATGACCCCTGACCCTGGAAACCCCCTCCAGGCCCGGGCTGACCCGGCCCCATGCTGCTGGTGTCGTCAAAGAGAGGAGTAGGTCCATCATGACCCTTAGATCGCTGGGGTCTTCTGTGGTGTCCTTGCGCTTGTTGGCTTGCTGCAAATGACAAAGTGTGAATTTGGCATTATGAATACAGAATTATTAATTGATACTTGTAGTTAATACATTACGCCTTGTACTGCCCCACCCAGGATAATAACTGTTTAGTTTCTATGGAATCATCAGGGAATACAATTATATAACACAGGTACAATTACACCAAAATCTTACAAATACATGTATGTAGTTTTACTCCCATCAAACATGTGAAAACCAACACCTGTCTTTTGCAGTACTGCAGTGTAAGTTATTCAAGACCAAGGAACTCAACATACATGTACATTATTTCAACGAAGCTTAAGATCCTTACTGTACTCTGTATTTTGTCCAGGAATGTACATGTACATGGTATGTGTGCCACAGTTTTGCAGCAAAGCATTAAATTTGACAGGATTCTGAAAGATCCAAACAATAATGACCTGGAAGGAGTTAGGCCAAAAGTATAAGCACTGATTCCTGAGCTAGTTCCTGAGGTCTGTAACGGTCAGGGGGAAACTGTCCCTGTGGTAATAATTACAGGGCCACTGACCAGCACTTCAACAGTTAAACCTGCTTGACCCCCTGGTGGCCAGAAAAAATTTGGTCGTTATCAAGCGGAAAGATGTACATGTAAGTAACCTTGCCTTATGTGAGCAAGGGCCACGATCCCCTCAGAGAAGTTTAACTCAAGCTCTGAAGTGAATGCTGCATTAGGATACAAGTTCAACTTATGCCAATAAACTTTGGGGGGAGGGGGCTGAAGCTACCCCAGAGATACAAGTCCAACAACAAAGCAAACCCCTACATTCAACAGGAGAAACTCACAAAAGCAAAGACAGCCATCAAGCATTTGCCTCAAAGAGGCCACTCTTCAACTCCAAAGTACATTTTCCTGTGCAGACAATGTTCCATTCTTCACTGCTGAGTCAATTTACAGGAGCAGTACAATTAAGTGTAGAGATGCCGTTTCTTTCAGTGTGCTGCAAGTGACCTCTCCACAATTGCCTATACCTCTTGGTGACACACTCACTGTGCGGGGAAACACTTCCTACAGATCTCTTTTTTTTTAATGACTTCAATTCCTGTGTTGTCAAGAATCCAGTACAACCTTAGTACCTCTCAATGACGATTGCACAGAAATCACTGGATATGTTTAACTCGAGAAGTTCAAAATTTAACAAATCGTTTTATTTGGTTTTACACTCAGAATTTTGCTCTCTAGAGAACATCTTTCAGAATGGTGAGAAATTCCCTCCTCTATGACCGAACATAATTACTCTTGCAAATGAATAAAAGTGTATCACCTACAGTGTATGCCATGGAGGAAGGAAGACGTAATGATCAAAGGGGAATCTGAGTATGTAACAAAAATATAATCTTTGTATCTCTGTCACTCTGTATCAAAGACACAAGCAAACTGCAGATTGCAACACTGAACAAGAGGAAATGACGATAATTGGAGACAACCAAAGTAATTCACAAATCAGTTCCAACCATGCCAACACACATTTAACATTATATGACAGAGAAACGCACTCACTGGTGTTGTCAGATGCATTGCTTTGCGTTCTGATACTATTACATGCACCATGGCAACACGTCATGGCAACACACGAATAATATTGCTACATCGCTGACACATTGCTTGCCAGTGCCCACAGCACACATCTGCACAATGCCATGAACAAAACTGAACATTTTCTGTCAACATATCTGTTAACAAATGAATTTGAAATAGTTACTGGGACTAGAACAGCCATGTGCAATATAGTAGGCTTTCATCGGTCACTCAGATCAGTGAATGAAATAGGCCTATGATGCTGCTGCCTGTCATCAGGGTCATCGTGTATGTCCATAAATATCTCCCTGACCATGCCCTGACTATGTAGTGTACTGTAGGCTAAATAAAACTTACAATTCTGTGATTTCCTTTGCTTGAGTCATTTCCATGACTCAAGCAAAGGAAATCACAGAATTGGTCCAAATAAGTCCAAAATAAACAGAAACAATCAACAGTGCAGAAACTAGATACAGATCACAAAGATCAGTATTTCAAAAGAAATTTTATCATGCAGAACCACATGAACAACCACAAACAGTCATACGAATGTAGGCTCACAGTCCACATGTACACGTCAACACCGGGTCAAAAAACCGGACATGCCAGACGACAGCAATACGGCCGGCCAAGAACACGAAGAATTTGTCACAGCATGCAAGCATTCTGCACACCTAAAGAAGAAAATGGTAACATACACTTACGATGCCTGAATCCAGCTGGGACGTCCATACTTACAAATATGGCAAAATGGATTAAAATAATATTTTTGTCACCTTACGTTACGACCCAGTCTGAACTGTGCCACGACTACGTGACAGCTACTGGTTCCCTGACACTTGCATCGAAGTTTAACAGAAGCAATCCCGTTAAACCAGTGTAAATAAGCCGTGTCCGAATTGCGTGTTTGAGGCTTGAAATTACATAGGACTATGGATAATGGCTGCAACTACTGTCATATACTCGTGTGTATTTCTTAGCCACGGCCAAGTGATGAGGCCATGTCAGAACTTGGCTAAAGCTTGAACGCCTTCACTGAAACGAATTTGAAACACAGGTGCTGGACACGAAGGCGCAGCACCACCGGTACCGTCCAAAAGAGCAAACATTTAAGAGCCATTTCACGTAAATACCAGACATATGTGTCCACGTTAAAGAAATATATTTCTTCATACTTTGTAGTCCACTTTATACCCCAGATGCAAAAATAGTTCACTATCCACTTAAGTCACTTTAAAGTGTCATCCATGTCTGCTTGAGACAAATTATCGTTTTAAGGGTCACCCTTATTTATGCTCTTTTAACCGCTTGCATTAAAGTGTGTTTTTAGAACTTGCAAAATTTTCACCCTGTTTTTTGCCCCTAAAAACGTCAACTTGCCAGGGGTCTCAGAATATTTTCCTTTTGGTCATCACTGTTCATGATTGGGGCCAACACTGGTCGTTTCATCATGGTGAGAAAATGGGCGATCGCATCCTGCTGTGACAGTATTGCCTCAAATGTGGTCATTTTGCACAAAACAGAAAATTGCATTGGGGATGGGGTCCTCAGTTTGAATCAGTAATACAGAAAGAAAGGTACCGGTACGCTTTTGTGATTCTAGCACTGTTTTTATGTCTGTTGAGTATAAAATGATTACATAATAAAATCTAGCACCCACCGATAGCCCATAAGTTTCCCCTTGAAGTTGAGTTCTGACTTTTGTACTTGTACATGTAGGCTATGACTCCAGTTGCAAGAGCACACTTTACAACTTGCCCCTTGTACAGGAGCCTTCCCACAGTCTCTTTGTCACCTGTCTGCCACCCAATGTCAAACTTGTTAGGCTCCAGCAAAGAATAAACAAAACTATTTGCACAAATCTGTTGGGAAAAAGTTTCGTAGTGGTCAAAAAAACATCTTCACTCTCAAAGTGAGCAAAAAACACGTACGTATCTCACTGGCTGAAACACTATTTTTGACCTTTTGTCAGCAAATTCCACATTTGAGGCAGAGCTTCATTGGAGTTGCAGTGGTGGAAATAGACAAATCAACTCAAAAATGTTTGATGATGGTTTCCAGTGATCGTTCTCTCAAATAAACCAAATGCATGTGAATTTCTCATTACTTTTATGCTATGTTTAATATGTTGCGTCGTGCTAACATGGCGTCGCGTCGTGCCATCGACGGTGCTGTCGCATCGTGTTGTTTCCTGATGCCGTCGCGTCGTGCCGGCGCGCCTTGCAGTCGTATCGTCGCGTTGGAATGTCGCGCCGTCGCACCGTCGCTTCGCCTGTCACATTATGGTTCTTATACGGTGTAGGTTAGGCCGTCCCGTCCTGTCGTCGTGCTGTCGCGTCCTGATGTCGTGCGGTTGCGTCGTGTTGTCTCACCATCGGGTCGACGACACGACGCAACGCCGAGACAGCACGAAGCAATACAGTGACACGGCATAAAAGAAATGAAAAAGGAGGCGACGCGATGGCACGGGACGATGGAGCCGTCGTAGCGTCGTGTCATGGTGTCGCCTCATGGAGTCGGGGCGACGGCACGACGCTTAGCAATTTTGTCGTCTATAGAACACCACCCCAAAAGAGGAAAATGCAGAAAAACCCTTTGTACAGCGCTATTTACAGAACCGGCAATTTGTTGCAGAACCGGGCAAACTCAGTTCAGTAACGACCACCGAAAAAAGCTTGCTAGCATTTGTCTTTCAAATGACTGTCTACAATTTTCGAGTATAATATATACACATATAGGAGGATAATTTCCTGATATTTCTGAATGAGAACTTCTCCATGAAAGTGAGATTTTCAGGCGCGAGGAACCTTCCATTGTTTCTGTTTGCGGAACCGGGCAATTGACTGTCTTTATTGGAACTCTTCATCAATAAATTCATAATTCTATGCGCATAGATGGTCCTGGTGGCAGCAAACGTGAGTTGCCCATTAAAGATGTACAGTGGCAAAACTTTCATCGTCATTATTTCACAGACCCAGCAGAAAATCGTCTCTACCTCGGTGAATTTATTTGATGACTCCCAACGTAAAAGAAATATAAACCGTGGCTGCATCCGAATCTGTTGCCAAGAGCTAGGACTAGGTCTTCACTCCATCGGAAATGCGTGGACGGAGACGCGCAGACAATAGCCGTAGCTCAGGAATCCCGTTTCGGATACGGCCAGCGCTTTCGCCTTGAGCGCCTAAGTTAAAAGAACTTAACAAGGCGCCCTTCCAAGTGTGCTATTATGAACACAACTTCTTGTGATTCAAGGCACCGGTACCAAGTGCACGTGTGAAAGACTGGCTTCATTTCTAAATCATCGTCGCTACACTGGCTTAATCACTTACGTACAAAACCCTTATAGCACATGATGTCAGAACATAATGACCTGGCCGTAGCTCTGGGAGCCTCCTCTCTAGACTCTAGACACGCATGTTAGGGACGGTAACCATACCGACAGACGGTTGGCTGAGAGCGATTCGATTGTTGAAGTCGCATAGATAAGATGGGCACTGCCGGGGTATTTTGATGATCTGGTTGTGGAAATTATTTGCTGCGAAAAAACTTATGATATTTGGACAAAAGAGAGTCTTTTCGGCAAATTGAAAGGGTCATACCTGTCGTTGAAATCGTGAATTTCCTGCTGTCCAGTTAGGGCCTACTTTCTGGAACACATCAGGAAAGGAAAGTCTCCCGAAAGGGGGGTCCGGACCCCCTGGACCCCCCTCTCGGGATGCCAACATGCCCGAGCCAACAGTGCAATGAGCCAAAAATAGTGTGAGCTAGGAGTAAAACTGCGGGCTCATTTTGGTAGCAAAGGATACCTGAGACACTGGAAAATTTTCAAGATTAACCAGTTTGTGCTTTGAACCGTTCCCGACTGGCGTGAGATGGAATGAGTGAAAACTGTCTTAGATGTTTGTGAAAGCTGTTTAGTCTGAAAAAAAAGGCCTTAGCAGGTTACTTTAAATAAAAACAAACAAAGGACAACAAAAACTGGCATGGAGCATAATTGTGATCACCCTGGGCCACCCCAACATCCAAATGTCTTGTTTATGCAGTTATAACAGTTAGTTTATACACAGCATTTTTGTCAAGTGAAGCACTTAACTTTTTACCCAACAGCACTAAAGAAGATGATCTGCAGCTTTTGTATTTCGCGATTGCGAAATTAAATTTGTCTCACCGGGTGGCAGCTATTCATTTACCGAGTTTTCATATATTGAGTAGCAAGGACTCAGACGTGTTCAAGTTTGGCTTGGAATTATCCATGACAATATGATTGGGGATGTGAAATTTTAAGTCCGCAGCCAAACCTTTGAGACAAGGCTTTCGTACGCGTTGGACATGATGGGTCAATGGGGATGGGGGTGTTCCGTGTACGTTTCGTTCATTCGTGTTTCGATTTGAAACGAAAATTGAAAAACAAGTCGTTTTCAATGTAAAAAAGAAAAGCAAACATTGGCAAACAAGTTGTTTCGAAAAATAACAAACAATAATCATGTTGTGTTTTGTTTTTCAAGTGAAAAAAGGGAAACGACTTTTTTATTTTTCGCTTTTTCTTTTCAGATGAAAAAACCGAAAAACGATTTTGTTTTTCATCTTTTGTTTCATTTAAAAACTAGAAAACGAATTTTAAAAATTTGTTTTGGTGAAAGCTACAATCGCTTTGTCCTTTGTTTTTTAATCTGAAAGCAAATAACATCGGTGCACTTTCTGAAAACTAAAAGATTTCAAAAAGTTCCATTTTTCATTTTGTAATGTACCTTGTAAGGAACGTCTTTATGCAAAATTGTAGCCCCGCTTATAAATTAGAAATCTGGCTGGGATTATGAAGAATTCGTGTTTTCCAAAGCAGAAGGAGGAGCAGCCCACAAAGAAAATTTTCACATTCTGATAAGCAACGACTATCTTATGAGCTATGACACTGTCAAATTGGGTATGTACAAATTGCTTTACTTTGCCAATTTTCCCACATACATCATAATTCTAAAACAGCTTTTCTGCATACAGAGTAGCTTTTGCACAGCTTTATTACGCTGAAAATAACAGATGCGTGATATGTGCTCCACCTTGCATATGCTTGGTGATCATGGCTATCTCTTATAATTCTACATTCATAAATACCTGGAACAGTTTTTATAATCCCATTGGTCAAAACGCGTCACGTGACCGTGTATTAACATTTTGATAATGCTCGCTGAGCTGAGAAGGATAATTCCCGCTTCTTAAATCACACGCTAGCACACATGGATACGAGCATTGGTCCATTAAAATAAATAGAGATCAATGGGTCTGATTGGTCAGAAGTCTGTGGCACGCGGCGCGCCACACAATGGACTGGGGGTGTTCGGGAAAAAGAAAGTAAAATTTTAGAACAAAATCGTTGCATATTCATCATTATTTTGTTGACTTCTTTTGACTTTCTGGATAAAAAGGTATTTATGAATGGGAACAGTGTGTGCTTGGCCTTGCTCACCCTTGTCTGCTGCTCGGGCATTAGTCGCGTCCATTCTCCTGTGCCGGTCTTAAACTCACGTTTAAGAACGGCCCAGCACACATTTAATTCCCTTATACGGCAGGAAACCAACATGTAGGGCGAAAAGTGACAATTTTCACAGACATAAAACGCACTGACCGCCAGCCTTGCGTGTCCAACTGTGATTTTGAAAATTATGGGCAAACAAATAGACAAAACAGTGGATGGCAGCCCGTTCAGTGCGCATTACGTGCGACAAACTGACATTGCCTGTAATCTGACGAACCGGCGAATCGACCGTTCTGGTGGTGTTCAGATTTTATCTCACGAACTGACGAATAGCTTCAACAGCAGCATTCAAACAAAGTATTGCTTATTGTGCCGAAAATACAAATTAGGAAATGATTTCAAAGACCAATTTTTGTATCTTTTATATATAGGCCTACACAGAGATTAAAAGAGGGTTGAATTATGATCGAAAACGAGCTAACAATAACTGTATTAAATAATATTTTAAGTGATATAACTTATTCGTCTGTTCATCAGATATGAATTTTGTTTATATGCGCTTCTAATATACATTGTACGTTCACCTTTTTTTCTTTTCTATACTACTGTCTTTTCTTTTTAAATGTTGCACCTGCATTGTTTTGAATACCTATTGGCCAGATTAAGTAAATAGAGGATTTTTTCACAATAGAAAAATGGCTTCATGGAATTTTATGGCTGGAATTCTTCAACTGTGCGTAAATTCCTAATATAAAGGGGTGACTTTGCCCATAGTTTTGATTCTTGTCAGGCCGCGCGCAGACCACGAAAAACCCCAGTAGTTTTGAACAAATATTATATAGCGCCGCGCCACGTACGCAGCCTTGCGGTCAATGCGTTTATAGTGTACGTCAGTGGAAATTTTTCTCTTTTACTGTTTTCAAAATTCAAAAATAATGAGAAATCATTTCTTTCCTTTTTTCACAAGTTTCGTTTTCAAATGGAAGAACGAGAAACGACTCCTTTCTTCGGTTTAGTTTTTTTTTTTAAATTGAAACAGCAAAACGACTTGTTTTTCAATTTTCGTTTTCAAATCAAAACGAATAAACGAACGAAACATGTACCGTGCAGGGACCGGGAGGGCGCCCCTCCCTATAACCATTAATGTTCTTCTGTCTGACTTATTCAGCGAACGCGATAACGTAGTGTGTTCGGATCGTGCGGCCCAGCCAGCCAGCGCAGCTGAGCGGACTCGATGCTCACTCGTTACGTACACTGCTGCAATTTGCACATTTAATACAACTTTAAACGCTACTGTCGCAAGGTGTCGGTAAGTTATCATCATTACTATTACACAACAGATTTTCTTGATAAAATCGCACTTATAAATTATACAGTTACATTACATTATAACGATTCTTGTGCATGTGTGCGGCTGAACACAAGCTGATTTACAGCGATAAGCCTGCTGTCACTGTGTGAGGCATTGTTGTTGGCTGAATGACATGTGGTGGTGTGATGTATGGAGCGCCACGTGTAAATAATAGTCTACCAGTACCATGCTGTTTTTGCTGCAATGCTTGCACTCCATGCTTCAAACACTTGAGTTATAAATCTCAGTTCAATAAAAATCTATATGTTTCTTTCATGTGGTTACACATTTTTAAGAATCTGGCTCTCACACCACCGCATTAGGCATAACAATTACTAAATTCCCCATTGGAAATAAGTAAGCCCGAAATAACTTAGAAAAATAAGCCTTATTGCAAATACTGCATGGGTGATTTTGCACAATGGTAGAGAGGCATTGTGGGAAGGAAAAAGGAGCAAACATTGCTCCTTTTCCTTCCCACAATTCCTTTCTAACATTGTGCAATATCACCCATGCAGTATTTGCGATAAGGCTTATAGACTATGCCTAGTGCTTATCTGGTTGACCAAGTTGCTTTTGAGTGAGCAGTCGTGGGATCGAATCCCACGACTGGGCTGTGCTAGTGAATTGCAAATATGTTTCATCATGGAGGAAGGACACAGAAGGAGTTGTAACTCAGGCACTTCAAAGCGTCCAATGATGGTCGCCGCCGAGTCTGACGAATAATAGAAAACATTCCAAAATGTCTTATTGCTGCCTGCATCTTAGCTGGACAAGTGGGGCCAGTAATACCCTGGCAATACTTGTATTTTTTTTGCTTGCAATTAAATACAAACTATCTATGTGACCTGGAAAAAAAGAGAGAAAAATTCCTGATATTAGATTTACTTTTGCCATCATAAATAAACTTTTTAAATTTTGACACACTGTTTCATTATCCATGCAAAGTTTGTAATTCTAGTCTCCTCTGTGCAATATACATCAGTGTCAAAGACTTGGAACGAATTTGGCTAAGACTGGCCAACAAAATGTTCACTACTACTGGAAAGCTTAGTTCATTAGCAACAAAATGCGCTATTTCATCACAAGGAGTGATCGTGAAATCGCATAAAATACGCATTTGTACAAATGCCATAATAAAAATGATTCAAACAAAACACAAAGTCTTACAAACAGCTTGGCTATTTTTTCCTAAAAGAAGTCCAGAAGAAAGCGTTCAATAAGGGCAACAACTGCACATGAACACTTCGGGTATACAGCCTAATAAAAGCAACTGCGCAAACACTACATTTGATGATTTTGTCGGTTCATACCAAGCACCAACGATGGCATGAATATTCAACTTTCTGTACTACAGCACTCAACGTTTTAGGGATGCAGATTTCCAACGAAAAATTGCGGCGACGATCATGGGGTACAAAGGGAGCTTATGGTTGCAAAACAGCTGGTGGGTAGCAGGCGTGCGCTGCGCTCTGGCTATGGACATACCGGGCATGCCAGAAAGTGGTAATCGGCCAGATGTTATAGCCCGGGCAGTTCAAACTCCTTCTGTGTCCTTCGTCCATGGTTTCATCTACCCCTGGAGGAATAAGAACATGATCTACTGGTACCCAAAGAACCCCAATCGCCAATATATCGCTTAATGCCACGGGTTGTTGCCCAGCCAAGTTCCAACGCCCACAAAACCTGTTCAGTTACTGTGCTAGCTAAGAAGCAAACCAAATCAGTACCAGTGCATGGTCAAGTGTCATAAATGCTCAAAAAAGTCCTCAGTCCTCCCATTTCAGTATAATTTTATAGACAACCTAGGGGTTATGGTGAATAAATTGACAAGTGATGGCTGATCATACAATTAAAAATTCCATACGTGCCTGCTCATTTCTTGGAACAACTCTAACCTTATGAAGCCTGTGCAGTAATTCTGATCTATTTTTGAGACATTTTTAAAATGTTTTGGTGTTGCTGTGTGTTAACTCCGCCTTAAGTAAATGCATACACATACAATAAAAAAAATCCCAACTGTATAGTAGAGCATGCAGCATGATGTTAATAATTAAGAATACTATATTGTAGCTGTTGGCTTTCCATACTTGGTTAATAAAACCACTTGAGTCCTGGCAGCGCTGTGCCCTGGTTATTATGAACAGCATGTAGCAGCCTATCAGCTGTGTGGGATGGGCATGCAAAACGTGAACCCGCATAAATCGAGTCACTTCATAGGAGTCTTACTGCACCAGTACTGCTTCAGTTACAGGGAAATCTGTGAGTTTTGCTATCCGTGGGTTGGTGATTTTTTGCAGTTTGTTTTTCATTGTTTGGATAACGATTCTCTACCACAAGTCAGATTTACAGATTGAAATTCCATTAAAGCTGTTGAAGATAATGAAGCAGTGTTTATGGAATCAACTCGTCATGAGCTGGTGGTTTTACTCATAAAACTAAAAAAAAACCTTGCTTTTGTATAAATTAATATGATAATGTTAATTTTGCAGTGACCTATTACCCATCTGAAAACAATAAAATATCTCAAAACGTTAAATTTAGGTGTCAGAATAGAAAGTGTGATTTTTCAGACTGGGCTCATAGCGTTTGTGCAAGGTTTGTGCATACTTTGTCAAGCGGTGTGCATAAATAATTTCCAAAACTCCAAATTTCTCCTGCAGTTTTTATCAAAGGGAGGAAACCTCTTTGTTCCTACCTTTTTCACAAATGGCGAACTACTGAACTTTTCCAAGTTCAGGGATGGTTTTGTTTGATTTTTTTTTGGGGGGGGGATTTTTTATTGCAGTGTCAAAAGCAATCTGATAGGTGTTAAATTTGCTTTTAATAGCTTCACTTTTCATCAGAAAACGATGAAATTCTAAACACATACAGATTTGAAAATTGAAAAGCTTGAGGTTTTTCACCCAAAATGGGGTATATTATAAGCTAGCAAAGATCGAGAACCAGTCAAGTTTGTTGATCTTTCATGTAAGCAACTTCTTGTAATCTCCATCTTTAGTTCTTATTGATGTGGTTTTCTTAAGCACAGGTTTACAGATTCAATTCTTTCCCTAATCACAGTGGTACAGTGCAATCATGGCTTGACTCTAAGAACATGATTTAAATTCATAGATCCATTACCTTTTATAGAGAGCACAATTTAGCAAGATGGCCCATCCCTCTGATGAATACTTGGACCTCCTGGAGCCCCGACGGAGGCAGTATGACATTAGCTTTGCGCTCAAGCACACCGCCTCCCTACTGCCTGAGTACCAGTACGTCACGCACATGTCCAAGGCTGAAATCAGGACGATGGTGCTCAAGTCTCGTAGATTAAAACACACGGTGGAAGAGGTACGTATGTTGGATGTCCTCAGGAAGGCCTACCATAAGAACACAAGCCATGTACCCATGGATGAATCCAGAACCCACTTGTTGTGAAGCAGGGGGCAAAATGTTCTGGGGATCGATCCAAACAATTTGACAATTGCTTACTGTGCATGTTACGGTCAGAGAAAAAAGAATGTGCTATTAAAGCATTTTTGTGTACAGTGGAGAATTTTTGGAGGATTTATCAGCATTCTTCAAACAAAACTGCAGCCCATTTTCTAAAATGGGTTCAAAAATGAGGGCTTTCATGTTCAGGTAGATCAGAGAGAATATACAGTGTATTTTCAAAATTTGATCACGTCCCAAAGAGACTTCATTTTGCTTGGAGCAAGAGCTTTACGTTGGCAAACTGAACATAGTGATCTAGTAATTCGAGTGGAAATCGCCAAGTTTTTACTGTAGACCCATCTCAGCATTGGGAATCGTTCAGAGAGGCTCGTAAGAAAGTTTTGCTGGTGTGAAGTCATAAGCTCTTTTTCATTTCCTTACCAAATCGAAATGCTGTAAACGAATTTGAATTCAGAGGCACAATGCTTATTCAAATTGGGCAGAACATACATGTAAAACATGGTTTTACCTCAAATGCTCATGCTATTTTTGTGGGGATGTAAAAGAAGACAATTGTTTAATGTGCCTCTCCTTCCCTTAGTGATGGTTGTTACTTGCTTTCTTACCTGCAGCTTGTTGCCAGCCAGAATTGTGAAGAGAAAGAGGTGTTTGCAGAAGCTGAAACCATCCTGGACGAGATGGCACACAACTTCACATTAAACAACATACGGTTCTTGGCTTACCTTTTTTCCAAAGCATTCAAGAGGCTGTACGGACACATCTACGTCAACAAATCCGGCCTTGAGAAGGCAAGTTGGACCACAGTGATCGAGCAAGATCATTCATCCTGAGATGCCATTTCTTTGTCTGTTGTCAAACAAGATTGTTTGTTCAATGCGGACAACCAATCAAGCAAAAGCCTTGAATCAGTTATAGCTCTTTGTCTGTTTAGAACTCACTTTTTGTCATTAGCATGCATATGTACATATATAAATGTATTTCCGGAGTTGAAACATATCACAGATGGAAATATGTTCAGTGTTTTCTCGCATTACATCTGAAAAAGTTTACATTATGGTATTTGGGCGATATGTGTTTCCGTTATGGGGGTAATTTTGTATTTAATGACAGGGACTTGTTCAAATACATGCATTACCAGTGAAGTTGTACTGCTTTATTTTACAGACTTTAAATGGTGGAAATCATCTCTTGAATCCTTACATAACATGTTCCCAAAGAAATGTCATCGCATGACTATATTTAATTTATGCCTGGTGCTAGACACTCTACCACAATTGGTTTGTGTGGTAACTTTCTTCTTGAAGCAGAACCTGTAATTTAGTCTCTGTGCTTCCATATTTTCCATCCACCTATAAATACTCTGTTTTAAGACATGGCTCCTCCCATCCTGTTTTATTCAGCTGCGGAAGAGTTACCGTGATTCGCCCGTTGTGCTGCTGCCCACCCACCGCAGCTATGTCGACTTCCTGCTGATCTCTTACATGATGTTTGAGTACAACCTTCCGCTGCCTTACATTGCTGCCGGTGCGGGTAGGTGGTGAAATCATTGTTTTATATGATGCGTGCTCCGTGGGCCTTCCGGACAAGTGTATGGTACTGCAAATGCTAAGAATGGGGCAAAAATGGGATACCGTTGTGCAAGAAGCTGACGCCAAGAATGCCTGAGGCTCTGTTTGAATCCAGTTATTTTGCACATTCTGTTGAAAAATTCGCTGTATGCACTCTACACCCGTTCTGCACACATAAAACACTGAATTTGTGTGGTGCATCCCAGCTTGGTTCCTTGTGAGTTTATCACACAATGCCATGTAGAGCTCATCAAAAGGCATATCAAAAAAGAATAACAGGAATAAAGTTGGGATGCAGAACCACTTTAAAGTGTAATAATGATGATGGGACTTTCATTCCACGGAACCGATCCCAGTTATGAGGGACACCTAGTATAGTTGCTCGGAAATATAATGTTTGCCATGAAAATGTCCAGATGTAGTTCCTAAATGCAGAGAAAAAGTGAACATGCATCGTTTAATACTTGACACAACAGATGGAACTTCTTCAGATCTTCCTTATCAGAGGTAACCCTAACTTCTTTCAGTTCATCACTGTACATTGTTTTCTACTTTTTTTTTCTTTCAAATTCCAGATTTCAACAATATGAAATTTGTCAATACCATTTTACGGTTTGCGGGAGCCTTTTACATCCGACGGTCCTTTGGATCCGACAAGCTGTACTGGGCGATTTTCACCGAATACGTTCAGATATTGGTCATAAACGGTGAGGCCCCACTGGAGTTTTTCATAGAGGGGACGAGAAGCAGAACAGGCAAATTTCTGCCGCCGAAAAGAGGTTAGTCTCGCCATGTGCACCTCAGATTCCAATGATGTGGTTGAGACCAGTCACAAGACCGGTCGTATGTAACAGGTTCAACAGTGAGATAGGAGTGCTTTTGTTGCAGTTCACTTGAATAGCTTGCCACTTGAATGGACCTGTAACATAATGATGTCATGCTTTGTTCACGTGTACGCTTTCCTAATAGGATGTGATCCTTTGAGCCCCCATAGGAAGGTGCACGTGTGAACAAGGCATGACGTCATGTTTTAGGTCTATTCAGACTGGAGGTCTTGTGTTGCTCTAGTGTTTCAAGTGATCGATGGTCCCTGCACCCAGGAAAGTGTTACCTTTTTTGTGGGTCTCCTTTGCACTCCCAAACAAGTGACTCAAAGAATTAAGCAGCGCATTACTGATGATGGGTGACGTTGGGCGACAGTAAAACTGGGATAGGACACTACACCACAAGTATTGCTGGTTGCGTGAGTTGCTTGCTAAGATTGATGCACGCTATAGTTTTTATCATCCATGAGGTCACTCCTGCAAATGGGACTTTGCCAAAGCCAGTGTCTAGACATTTGTTGCACATGACATTTGTTGCACATGATCATCGCGAGGGAATACTTTAACTCATCAGTACACGATACTTCCGTCTGTTTGGTGCTGGACTTCACAAGTGCCCCTAATGCTGTATGTAACTAGGAACCAGATGGTTGACAGCACGATTGGCCGTAGGTGCAGCAAAATGTTATGTTTTAGTTGGTACTCGGATCAGTCAACCTTTCAGATTCAGAAATGGAAAAAATAGTTTTTTATTTCTAAAAATCTGGGATCCTCTAAAAAACAATTTACAGATATAAAAAGTACTTTTCTCTGTCCTCCTCAATGTTTTTCTTTAAAAATCTGTACACCAATTTATAAAAAGGCCTCCATTAGGTTGCCTGCTAGCTTTTTTTGTATTTTGTTTTTCAATTCACTTTTTTCAATCAATATGTACTTTTCTGTGTGAGGAAACTACATTTCAAACTCCATAGAAGCATCCTTTTAATAATCCTTTAAAGCCACGATCATCGAATTGCTAAAGCCGGCTTTCCCCAGCAAGATACATAAAAATATCTCACCTTCAGGTCGGACAAGTACAGTGTACATGTACTCAATGCACTGTGCACTGTGCAGTAAATATAAGTCCAACCCACACACACCATGCTTGCTTGACTATGTACCGATGAAATAAGATATGTCCACAGGTTGTTGGCAGTTTGCAGAAGATGGGACTGGCCACCCTCAGTGTGTTGATGGATGGTGTAATTAACAGTAGATAAGGACCCCTTCCATGCAGTGAAGATAAACAATGAAATCCAGGTCGTAGAGGGGGCCAGATTTTTTAAACAGAAATTTGCCTCTTGATATACTGGACTAATGCGTATTTTAAAAAAAAATTCTCAGGGAAGAGTAGACTCTTTTTACCATGATATTTCAGGCTGGCAGCAGGATACAAATGACCAGAAACTTTGTATTCAGGGGAAAGGATGCTATATAAACAATGGGTGTCCTATCATTCGTGTCACTGCTGTTTTCTGTGACTTGCCTCCAGGGCTGTTGCAGGTAGTGGTTGAGCCGTTCATGAAGGGGCGCGTGCCGGACATCAGCCTCATCCCCATCAGCATCAGCTATGACCGGATCTTGGAGGAGACGTTACACAGCAGAGAGATGCTGGGAATTCCCAAGCCCAAGGAGTCCACGTCGGTGAGGACTCGGAGAGCATCATTCAGATCTCAACTTGTTTGTTTGTGCATTTGTAAAGTGTCAAACTCACAGTAGGAACAGACGAATCCGAGGAAATGCCACCATTACAGTGGCACCACACTCAGGCACACATAGCAATTGTCCCAAAACTTGACTTTCTTTGCACATTTTTGAAAGTCACAACGCCCAAAGGGGAGAAATTGGGGCAAAAAGGGCTTTTGGTTAAAACGTGTGAGCAGCTCTTATTCTGTTCAGCCATTATCGGTTTCCAATGGGATATAAACAGAACCCTGGCCACACGGGACCACACTCTCACAGATTCAACGTCATATGCCCAAAAACCAGAATAGCAAACAGGATATGGCTGTAGCGACTCCCACCCGTATAGTTCTTTCAGACGTTTTGGTCCACCACATCACCATTCAAACAGTGGTCCTAGCATGTTCTCATTTGGAACAAGCTGTTCCAAGGTAGGCTAACATTGCTATATGGCAGTGGAAAAAGACCTATATGCCAAATTAAAATCAGTAGTATTAGTAGTAGTGCTGGAAGTCAGCAAGTATTCTGAACTTTTGCTCTTGTTAAACCTTGTTAAACAAAATGTGGCTCAGATCTTGAGTCTCTTTAAGTAGCCCTCAAGGATGAGGTTAAGACAATATCCAAACTACATGTACTTTGGCCGTATACAGTGTAGCTTGAAATAACAGGGAAATGGATGAAGCCGCTACCTGACGGCTTCCATGGCTACATGTGTTATTGTAATCCGCAGCCACACGTTTTTGGACAATATCCTGTCTTCAACCCACATTCCCCCTTCTCCGCCCTCTGCAGGGTCTGTTCAAAGCCAGCTCTATCTTCCAGGAGAATTTCGGTAACATCATGGTACACCTGGGAGACCCTGTGTCCCTGAAACAGATGTCCCTGATCAGCGGGGTTGACAGGAGTGTCCATAGCCTGGCACCAAGGTGAATCAGCCTGTTTTGACCATGTTCCTAGAGTCCATCTTATTCACTGCAGTCTGTTAAATGAGGTGGTGCTAGACTACTTTTGGTTCCATATGCCTCACTGCTTTCATTTTTTAAAATGTGGCTTAAAACAATTTGATATAATTAATTGCACATGTTATGTTGTTTATCATAAATGACATCGATTTGCGGTGAATTTTTGTGCATTGCTTTATTTCTATTTTCATGTTCCCCCCAAAGAGGGTTAACCTCACTTTCAATCCAATATATAGCCACCATTTGAATAAGGCCAGTTACTATGGCCATGATCCCAACTGCAGAAAAAAAACTTCTCCAACTTTGTTCACACTCTGGGTACAAAAAGTGCAGAAGGCAATGATGAAGTCCTCAGCGTTCATTAGCTGCATTGAGTTCTGAGCTCAAATTCTAAAGGAGACTTCCCTTCAGCATTTCGGACAAGAGGAGCAAATCCAAGTGCCCTACTGATTGATATTATGGGCCATTTGCTGGTCTGGTAGCTGGACATTGAAAAGAATGTATAAGCATAGACAAGATTAATGAACTTAATATTGCAGTCTAGTTTCTTTCATTTTTGACATGCATGCACAGTATTGACAGCCCAAATTCTCAGGCTTTGTATCAGCCACTCTTTTGAGGCCTACAATCGTCCATCCCCTTTCTGGCTCTCGATATTGTTACTTCTGCCTCCAATGTCCACTTTTCAGGTTCATCTTCTCAATGAATGCCCAGGAGCAGCAGTTTGTCCAGGAGCTGTGCCTGAGCGTCCAGCTCATGCAGCAGAGGCACATGGCCGTCTCGCCTTGGGTGCTGAGCGCAACCCTGCTGGCGATGAGCCCGGGGTACCAGACTAGCCTCCACAACATGTACAGGGACATGGAATGGCTGAAAGGGGCAGCCGTCGGTCTGGGAACCAAGCTGAACTGGCCGGGTGTGTATCCCGTAATAGGAATTTGCACAAGAGTGAAGTGATTTTGGGCCATTTCAAATATCTCAGCATTGTTTTCATGAGGTGTGCCTCGATCTGTTTCTCGTTCCAGAAAGATTCAGGAGCCTTTAACCCTAACTACCCAAACCTGCCATACTCCAACAGCAGGTTTTGTGAGGTTTTTGCAGGCTTGTTATCGTACCTGATTAACGTCTTGTTGAATTTTGTGAGACTTGGGATGAAAGGCCCAGTGAGATGGTGTTGGATTCTGTGTGAGTTGGGACACACAGGGTTCATTGTGTGCAGTGTGTGGCTTGCTGTTCCAGTTGTTGGACTATGCTTGATTTTGTCAGGTTTGGTACTGTTCAGGGCGAGTCATCCTATACTGCATAGACCCATCCATACCATATCACTCAAACTCCAATGAGCTCATTCTATTGGAGTTGATCAGGTTTGGTACAGTGACCTGCATGTACAAGTACATAGACAGGTACATGTATCTGTTGGATTTTGTGAGGTTTAGTGTTCTTTCTTGTGCAGGAGGCTAGGGGATTAGCAGGCCGTGACGAATCGCCTTTCCGATAGCCTGGGGCAATTAAAATTCTAACTAGCAAGTCCAGAAGAGCTGATGTCTTTTCTGTCTTCACAAAGTATCTTTCAATAACTTTTTCTCACGTTAAAATGCTTATTTTTGTATGTTTTTGAACTTACATTTTCAAGTTTTGGAAAGAAACTTCTGTTATTTTCACAAGTTCTCATTCACGTTTCGCTGTCGCAGTGATGAAAACACGTGCCCACAGCTCAATGCATTAAACGAAACTGCTTTGGTTCCCGCCGCGCTGCACCCATGCAAAGAAAGGTAGCAACCAGAACCAGTCTATACATGTACTGTACGTTCCGTTTGATTACTCTACATCGGCTGTACATGCACGCAACCCTAAAGCCACAGGTAAAAAAAAAATCGATGTTGTAAGAGGTTTTCTGTAAGTTCCTTCACAGAACTTGGTCTCTTATTTATGTGTGTATTTCCTGTGTTCATGAGTTTAATTTGAGTTTGTTTTGCTAGTACTTGAAGCGAGCGTCTTTCAACAAATTTCCTGCCGCGGCACAAGGTTTTTCACTCACTGGTCTAGATGCCTCATGCACGTTTACCATGCGATACATTGTTGGCCAGTTTGCCGTCTTGATTGCCTGAGTCACACTGTGTCAATTGCCCATAATTCTTGTGAATTGTTGCCTGTAGAAATTTTTACATAGATTAAGACAGGTGTTCATCGCTTTTTGAGCTAATTTTGGAAGCTGTCGTCCCCATTGATGCCATTCAATCAGGACAAAAAAAATTGACCCAAAAAATTTTTCCAATCTACCGACCCTATTTTTGAGAGGCATGCAATTGGAAGCACAACTATTTTGGGGACTTAATAAAAGACTGCATGCACGCAGTAAGCCTAAGTTAAATACACATAATAATCGTGGATTCCGAGAAATCTTGGGCAAGTGTTGATCTAATTTGGGCAAGCAAATTTATGGCATGGCCTGCCCGATAGGGCAAGCTAAAAAAAAATTGTCGCGGCCTGGGGGTTAGGGTTAATGTTCACTACAATTATAGATAGTTTAGTTGCTGGCCACAATTAAAAGATGAGTTCATCAAGTATAAAAAAATCTAAATTATGTATATTTAGCCAGGGTTGACTTACTGTTAAATCTGACTGCTGGCGGTCAAAGCTTGCAATGAAGTTGATGTTACATAAAGCGATTCAACTAGCCAGAGGTTTTAACCACAGCTTTCACATCTGGCAAAAGGTTTCAGTTGCATGCTATGAGGCATTTACCAAATCAGTTGGTTTAACATGGTTTTATACGTTGTTTCCCTCCCCACACACACACATTTTAGTCGGGAAGATGGTGCAGTCTGTATTTGAAGAGCAGCTTGCTGTCCACCGTGCCATGGTTGTCGTAGATGGGGACAACATCAGGCTAAATGCTCCGAGAAAAGTGGCAACTGCGGAAGAAGTCATGACGGTATAAATTTGTTGGAGTGCCTCAGTAGAACAGGGTTCTGGTGTGGGGGGTTTGAGGGTCGGTATCAGATCTGTGAAGGGGTCACCTGTAGATATTTTCAACCGTGACGCACAGCTGAGCCTATCAGTGGGGTCCTGGGAAGAACATATGCCTTTCACTGTGCAGGGGAACTTGTCTCCCAGTCTAGTCTTTAGAAGAGACAGCCACACAGTAGACACGTGTTCCACAGATTCAGTGATGAATTTATTCAATAGATTCACTTTTTAACCTCCAAACTGTCACCAATCAGTGTTCATTTGCCTGATGGAACAGGGTCAGCTGACAGCTGTTGACCAATCAGGAGGGTTGATGTGGTTTCTGACCAAAGGATCCGAGTTTCTGCCATCCAGAGTCAAATAAAATGTACTAGCATTGTTTTAGAGCATCTGTGGAACTGGGAAGGGTGCTCCAATTTTGATCAGAAGTTGTACGGTCATTTCTTGACTTCCTTAGTTTAGCCTGGAAAAACTGCAGGCTAAGGGGGAACTCACAAAAACTAACTAAACCAAGGATCTTCGAGAGAAAGGTCATCTGAAACTGAATTAATAGGGACTCAGACACCAATATTTGACTTAGAAAAAAAAGACACAAAAATTTATTAATGAAAAAGTAGTGATAAAAAGGGAAGGAAAATAACCAAAAAGACTACAAGACTGAAAAGACTTAACACCAAAAGACTAAACTTTAAAAGGACTAAAAACCAACAGAGTGTGTCAAAGTAGATCTAGTGAGGAGGCTTTGGCTTTCAATCACTGACTCTTTAGAAGGAGACAGAAACCTGACTCAAGTAGAAAAGATCACTCCAGTGAGGAGGAACAAATACAGGAACAGTGATAGTGTCTCTGCTTGTCTGCCCTTCAAACTACGTGTGGTCAGAGCACGGGGGCCAAGTTATATGGGTTGAAGCAAGGGCCAAAGTAAGTAATCAGGGGGATACACTAACAGAAAAACACAGGGGAACTCCAAACTAAAACTCAGTATTTTTATAGGGGAACTACTAAAGATGCTTACAAAAAGTCTAACAAATTCTCGCTCTGCCACACTAGTTTCTTATTGTGCGTTGTTATTCAGTCTCAGTTGTAATGTATCATTAAACTGATGCTTCCCTAGAACTTGGCCATGTTTGGCTGGAGCATCAGAGTATCCGTAAACACACCATGCAGGAACATTGTGGTAGGGACAGTGTGACATAAACAGTAGAATTACCGTTCAGGCAAATAAGCCGCGCCATATTTTTTTGCTGGACTCGAAGATTGCAGAAATCTGAACAAACCTCAGTACAATAGCCTGCTATTTCAATTTCCCCTTTTCAGGCTGCAACGGTGTACATCATGCTGGGGGCTTACCGGAACCATCTCCTTCCCTCACTGGCCCAGCCCGCCCTCGTTTCTTTGGCCTTCTGTGGTCTCAGTGCTGCCACCAAAGGTGGGATTGCTTTAAAAAACCTCCATTGTGATTCAATAGCTTCAGATTCAGTCATCATAGATGAGGCTCGTAATTAGCTACCCCCGTTTATTTTTACTGGAATGAAGTGTGGGAATATAAGTATGTGATTGTCGCTCTGTCCTGTAATATGGGGAAGCGTTTTCCTGAGAGAACCTGCAGGGACAACATGACAGTTGTTCAGTTTGCGCCAAAATAATTTTTGAAGAAAAACAAAACATTTTGTGTCAGCAGAAAAACCGGTGTGCCGTCCAGAACTCTTTGATCCATTGATTTTTATTTCTCACTAGATATTGCTCTGTGCTAGGCAAACGCTGAAATAATATGTATGCCTTTGGAAGCCTCTTGCTCGAGGTTGTGTCTGTTCCCCATGGATGCATATGACATTACTAGCCATAGCCATTTCATTGGGACACTTACTTGGCTTGTCACTGAAACACACAGCACCTTCATAAGCATGGGGGAAAATAAAAACAGAGCTCACCAGAAGATGTTAAATGCTAGTAGCTGTATTTTCGGCCCGGCTGGGCCTTCGTCAGTACTTGGTACGGGACTGGCGATTTAAATACAGTGAAACTGAGTGAATTCCACGTTCAAAGCACAGTGCGTGGAGAAGGAAAAGCGAATCGTCCACAGACTTCGGACACTCACGCCTGGCAGTTTGAACGTGGAATTCACTCTAATCCCATTCCCAGCTCCAACAAAGGCCCAGTCGGGCCGAAAAATCAGCTGCTACCATCTAACATCTTCTGGTGAGCTCTGTTTTTTAATTTTCACCCATTCTCAATATCAGTGCCACACAGTCTGGGTCTTTTTTTTCTTGTGATACCCTCAAAAGCTCATACTCTCATTAAACTTCAAAACATTAAATTGCAATTTCATTCAAAGGCAAAACACACATAAAGTCCGCGCCCCCCCAGCTGCTTCACATACGTGACTTATTTTGTTTTTCCACTCTTCATTGTCAGATGAGCTCTTAGCACAGTACCAGTTCCTGGTCACGCTTTTCAACAGAGAACTGACATTCCACCCGAAGACGACCATCGACGTAAGTGAATACTTTGGTCAGTCCTGCGTTTTCAGAGGAAATCCAATATTGACGGCGAAGAGTGCCTCAGCAAGAAGATTACTTCAAGGGAACTTTTTGTAGATTAAATGCAAAACTACTCCAGTAGGGGCTTGAGCTGGACCAAGAGAGGGCGCTATTTCCATAGCAACGGAGGCTCCTGTAGTTTAAACTGTGCATCGCTGGTCCATTGACGAGTAGGAAACACAAGCGTTACAGTCACATCGCTATCAACAAAATGAATGCTCTGTTCACCCGATGAGGTTGTGCCTCAGCTCGAGGCAGATCGCCGAGATACACTTTTTTTAGAGTTCACATCAGTTTTAGTGTTTTTCACATACTTTCAACATTGCAGTATCTCCCACAGACATTAATTTGATTTTTGTTATGCATTCTCAAGGACTTTCAGAGCACTGTGCGGAGACTGCAGAGTTCCAGCGTCATCTCGGTGACTGGCTTACAGTACAGTATCACCTCATCCGGCGAGCGGCTGATTTCTTTCCTCTGCAGTCTCCTACACCCTTTCCTCCTGGGTTACTGGGTAAGTCTATTTATTACTCTGTTATAACTGGTACCTGTTCCTTCTGGGTTGCTGGGTAAGTTTAGTTATTCCTCTGTTATCTCATGCACCTGTGCCTTATTGGTTACTGGGTATAAAAAGCCTAGTCATTCCTATATTTTCTGCCGCACCCATTCCTCCTGGGTTACTGGGTATAAAAAGTCTAGTCATTCCTCTGTTATCTGTTGCACCCATGTGTCCTGGGTTTCTGGGTAGGTCTAGTTACTCTTCTATTATCTGCTGCACCCATGCCTCCTGGGTTTCTGGGTAAGTCTAGTTATTCTTCTATTATCTGCTGCACCCATGCCTCCTGGATTACTGGGTAAGTCAAGTTATTCCTCTGTTATCTTCTGCAACGTTTTTCCTGGGCTTGTGGGTGAGTCGGGTCATTTCAGCTCACACCTGTTCCTCTTGGGTTACTGGGTTAGTTATGTGATTCTAGTGCAGTCTCTTGCACCTGTGCCTCTTGGGTTACTGGGTAACTTTGGATCATTTCATGCAGTCCTCTGCTCGATTTCTTTCATACTTACTGCTTAAGTCTGATGGGCTGTTGGGTAGGTTTTATCATTCCATAGGCGTCTCCAGCACCCTGTCCTCCTGGGTTTCCAGTTGGGTCTGCTCATACCAGCAAAATTCCCTGCTCCTTTTCTCTCTGATTGGTTTGTAATTTAGTTTTAAACTCCAGCGCATTGTGGAAAAGATTTGTGTCAAGTTAAAAAAAAAATAATGTCAGCAAAGGTTTGATGGGCTCGCCATGAGGTTACACTCTTTAGACGAGGAATCTTTACCTTCTCGCCTCTTCTCGTTCAGGTTGTCTGTCGTTATTTGCTGAGCTGCCCATGCTCGTTGGATTCGGTGACTGAGCAGTCCCTTGCCAAGACGATTCAGAAAGAGATTGCAAGTCTTATAGCAGCAGGTAGGCTCCTGACCCCACACTGTAAATGAGAATCTAGTCCCCCAACCCAAGTGCTTACCCCCCAAATTTGTTTCTGATGCATTCATTCTACTCTGTGGGGCAGCAATTCATATGCATTAATATCTTCCAGAGGGTGTTAGTCATTCTCTTTAAGTTCATTTCTCCTAGCACCTTGTGGCCCAACCCTCGTGTTACTTTCTCGTGTTTCGCAAGTATAAATGTATATGGCGAGATGTATATGAGAATGGGGAGATGATGGGATGCTCTTTAGGATACTCCCCTAGAATGAGCTGGTTTGATATTTCATAAAGTTAAGGTCTTTCAGGAACAATACTTGTGACTCAACGTATGGTAGTGCTCATGGGACAGACTATTGCGTGTGTTTGTCGCTGTTCAGAATAGCCTTGTAGTGGGCATGTGCTGTTGGAATACCGAACTGGCTCTTTGATCCATACTTCGGAGGCAGGGGAAGGGGAGGGGAAGAAATTTCCAGCTTGTGGGTTTCTTTTTAAAGACAGCAGACATCGGTTAGTGAAACTAATGTCAGGAGACAAAATGATGTAGTTTTTTAAATGCCTTCGCGGTTGCTGTCTTGTGATTTTACAAGCACTGGCAAGATACAATGATTGAGAGCCCTGCCCCTGTGTCAGGCATTATATAACCAGTCACCCCCCCAAAAAAGAAAAAGTCAACCATCTCTTCATAGTGCATTTTCGTTTTGTTTGCTTGGGCGATGCCAGGTGACCTCAAGATCTATGACATTCTGTCACTCAACCTCCTCTGCAACGCCATCTTGTCCCTTGTCCAGCTTGGAGGAATCAAGAGATCAAAGAGGTACAGACTCACCGAGTTCAGCCAAATTTCACAGCACTGTGCTGCTATAGAAGCAGCCTATCCTTAGTTACAGAGAAACCGTCTCACCAGTGACAGCGCTGTCCGTACAGCGTTGTCAAGCCCAGTCACTAAGGCCTGTCACGAGGCTAGGAACAGGGTGACAGAATAATGCTAGAGGAGTGCTACTGTCCCAATTCATATGAATAGCTTGTGACTTTGTTTAAAACTCAGTGGGTAACTGGTGATGGACTTGCAGGGACTTGTGATGGACTCGACTATGCCACTGGTCTACTGCAGAAAATTGAAAACTCCCATTCTTATAAATTTTTGTACACACCAGTTTCTGTCGAGTCTCGCTTTTGGCTATCAGTTTTTTTTTGTAATGTTTGGAATGACAGAAAAATTGTGGCACATGACCCTCGGCCAGCACAAATGGGTGCAACCAACGCGATTGGGGCTGATAGGGGAAACGTTATTTTAGAAAAGTATATTAACATTGGACAATTAGATTGACACTGCATCTGGCCCAGGCGGGACCAAGAGAGGGTGCAATTTTCCTCACAAAGGAGGTTCTTTTGGTAGGGACATCACCTCATTGGTTCACATCAGACTATGAAATGCATGCATTGCTATCGCACTTCTATCAATATGAACATTCCCCTCCAACCTGACGCTTTCCAACCAATGAGGGGGTGCTTCTGCTCAAGGCAGATACTGATCTGGGAAAGATGGTCTACAAGGAGTTTACTTCCTGTATTGTTTATCCTGGCTGAGGGCTACATGTACTGGTTCCCCGCCATTGGCCAGATGCCGACACAAGTATACCATTGCTGTCATATTTCTGGTCTCGTAGCACAGATATATGCACAGGTTCTACTAGCATTGTGACGAGAATCAGTCGTGTACTCCAGACAATATGCACACGGGTTAGTGTCAGCATGTATTTTGTCCATTGGCCCAGCTTAAAAGTCTCTGCTTTTACATAGAACTCAATAAATAACCTAGAGTGCGTACTCTTTATGTGACATGAAGCAACGACTGCCATTGCCACCGTGGAAAAATTCAAATATGCCAGGCGCGCGCCTGCATGCGTGCAGTATTCGTATTGCTGAGTAACATGTGATAAGTACAGATACATGTCACAGAAGCTGTGTTATGGTCGCTGCGAACCTGTTTAAATGCAGCACATGGTTATATCACTTCCTGGCACTTTTAGCTTATTTCCATCCACAATGGCAATGGCGGCTGTGCATCCATGTCGGCACACGAGTACACACTCTAGGGTTTTTAAAGGCTCTATGTTGCTTTCTGCAAAGCGCCCTCTCTCGCTCATGCAGAGGCTGCACTTTGGAATGCATTTGACTCGGTGCCCAAATAGACGCCACCGCATGTGAGCCAGATTATTTCTGTTTTCTCCCAGTGGCTGGATGCTGATTGAAGTCGAGATTAGCAAAACTGCCGATAAAATCAGTAAGTGCCAAAGTCTATTTTGAACCTGTGCTCCTTGGATAATTTGTCGGGATGCACATCTTTCCATAAGGCTGTACCTCCATTGAACATGATCACTTCAACTAGGTCAAAGACTGAAAGAGAAAAAAACCTGCCAGGGTTTCTGAAGAGCAGGGTCGAAAAGAATTTCCAATTTTTTTCTTTGTTGGAGGAAAGATGCTCCAAGTGCTCTCGGGGGACACGGTACCTGGTTATGTTCCGCAGTGTCCAGATGATGTTAGCGATGACTATGCAGTGCGTTACATTTACTAAGTGATCACGGTGTTGATAAATGCTTTCCTATGGGGGGGCTTCAGTGGGTGTAATGCAGGCCACAGAGTACAGCTGAACTCCCTGCCCTGGGGTCCTGGTACTGATAAGCACACTATTGAAGTAAATCTTTTTCCTTCCCTGAACCCCTCCCCCCAGGCGAGTACATTGAACTGCCGGCAAGCCTGCTCACTAAGCTGTTTGCAAAGAAGCTGGCTGGTCCCGCCGCTAAGCTGTAGACATCTCAGAGGCAAGGGCCGAGTACCAGCTGCACAACTTGCAGGGTCATCAGCTGAGTGTGCATAAGAAAAAGCCAGAGGCAAGTCACGCTTGAGTGCCTATCTACCATCAATTAATTTCTACTTTGCAAGTGTTTACCACTCTGCATGTTTATCTAATTGTGAAGTCCAGCTTGACCGTGGATCCATCCCGTGGTACTATGTATCCATTTTCGGTGGACATTTTATCTCGGTACAGATTTTATTTTGGTTATGAAGAAAAATAAGAATGTTGGGGCATGCACCACCAAGTCGGATTTCCGCCAGTCACAGCTTGTTAATTTATACCAAGTTGGATGGGGTTGGTCGAGGATAAAGAAAGAAAACTCCTGTACACTCAGTACTATATTTGCTAATTCATTTACCTCCAAAAGACAGAAAAACAAGGAGCGGGAGTGAATTTTGACGTGCCCAATGATTTTGGAATAACTGTTGTGAACTGTGTCAACAAATAAGCAAATCCAGTCAAATATCATTAATAAGAGGTCCTTTGGACTTGGCAAATTTACCTTGTTAAAACAGGAACCTCGTATTATCAGGAATGAATATAGAGAAAAACAAAGGATTGGAACCTAAAGATTTCTTTGCAATCTTCTATTAACAGTGGTCCCACTGTATTAACAGTGCTCGTATTAACGAGGTTCGACTGTACATGATTTTTGATACTGGTTAATGTGCACATCTTCACTTTAATTTTTTGTAGGCTACCAAGTTTGTTTGTTTTTTACACAATTAGAATACAATTCAAAATTTTGCTCTGGAGACTGCAACTCAAAATGCTGAGAATGAAATGTCTAATTTAATCGTGACCTCTATCTATGGTGCAAAGACAGGTTTTTCTAACAATGTATATTTTTGGACTAATTTTTAGTAATAAAATATAAAAGAAGTCATGTTATCTATTATAAAAAAATTGAATGATGATAGAAAATATCTTATCAAGTTCATTGTTATTCTATGAAAATTTAAATATTTGCTTGCAAAATGCCTCAATGAATCAAACTCATAGTTTATGATGCTAGTTCAAAAATAGTGATCTATTATGTTTTGTGAAGTGTTGTTTTAAATATAATTATCTGCATCAAATTACTGCTGAGAGAAGTAAGTTTTTTTCTTCTTTTTTTGGACAAAACATGTGAATGAAAGCTAATATTGCCAGGGCGTCTTATTGGGGCATTCTCGCTAAGCCATGTGGCCCAACTTGTATCCAATATTATAGGCGGATTTAGTGCTAATCACTATGGACAGTGTTTAGTTACATGTAGTGGGCATTGTGGGCAAGCCCTCAAAGCCTTAGGATTGGCAAAATTAATAATGACTAGCGTGCATGGCACATGTGGTGGTTATTATGCCATTTGATATAAAATTCACAGATATCTTTGGTGAAAATAAGTTTCACTGTCAAGTTTACAGTGGGTGATGAATTTTTGCTGACTGAATGCCTGCTTTCTGCCATGGTGACCAATCTCACGAAAGTGGTGTGGTATCGTGGTGCTTTGACATCTCTTGATCAGACCCCATTTTGGGTTGAGCCCAATTGACGTGGTCTAACAGTAGCTTTTCTAAAGTGTGACTGACTTGAACAGATCCTGGTAGCACTGACAGTCACAAACGCTTCAAGAGTTGTTTTGGGCCGGCCGATGAGGGGAAGGCCATCGATGAAAGCAACACGCATTGGCAACCTTTTCACAACTATATAGGTACGAATCCTAGATGGTTTCTTAGATCAAGTCCAATTATTAGAAGGCATTTGATGAGCTAAGAAGGGCTACTAGATAGCAACAAATCTGGTTACTCTGTTATCAATCTCTGAAGTGGAATAATGTCCATTACATGTATTAAAACTATAAACGATCTTGCCACATAAACGATTATGATAAAAATTGGGCTCTTGACTTGCATACCTAGCATTTACCTGCCATGAAACGGGCAGAACACTGGCCTGCCTCAAAAGATCTTGTGAAGTGTAAGGCACATTTGAAGCAAGATATGGGACGGAGAGAACCCCCCCCGCCTTTGTGTTGGTCATTGTTTGATTGGAATCTCAGGAATTCTTTACAGACTTCTGGGGGGATGTGTCAGGTAACAATTGTCTAGAGTGTGTATAGGGATTGGACAGGTAAGGGGGGTACCCCTCCGTCTCATATCTTGCCTGGTATAGTAAGGCAGGAGGTGAAATGAAAAACCTGTCCTGTAAGCACCATTTCTAATCAACGCAGTTGCACCAACCCCAGACCCAGATCCCTTTTGAAGCCCAGGATGCTATCATCTGCCTTCTCTCCTCGAACTTGGAGTGAGAAGGCCAATGGATCTCCCATTCTAGTGGATCTGCCAGTCCAAGATCAGATATCCCCTGGTATCCGACACCAGATGGGCTCTACACAAAGTCTGTGAGCCAAGAAAATACACGCCGTTGATTAGCAACACAGCTACCAATGTAGGCCTTCTTGGCTCATCGAATGCCTTCTAGTAATTGGACTTGATCTAAGAAACCATCAAGGATTCACAGAAATTTGAATGCTCTGATCTTGGCAATCCATTAAGAGGGCTCCTGTCTTATAGCATTGAACAGTGGATGTTACCGTAGTGCCTTTAAAGGGAACTGCATGGCATTTGCCATTGTTATGCAGAAGAGAAACCGATTTGGATGTAGTAAACGACTCATGATCCAGAAGATGTGATCATCATCTTTTTTGTTGTTAAAGATTGTTCCTGTTCTGTTTTGAGTTTGAGAATCAATTGCAAGAGGAAAGTCCCGGGATGTGGCAGGATGTTGAGGAATTAAAAGAGTTTCGAAATCTCAATCGGCTGCCCTCGGTGGCAGTTAGGGGATAACTCCATGCATTGAAACCTGTTGTTTGCCAACAGAAATCTTGCGAAGGACTGATTAAAACGCAGTGGCTTTAGTACTCCATACAAAGCTAACAGCTCATCTGCCAAGTTGCTGCAAACCCCTTAAATTTGTTTTCTGAATCGGGTTTCTCGCCTTTTGGATTCTGGGCATTCACACTTGGATTGGAATTGTTTGGACAGCATAGATAGAGTCATAAAACATACCGACCACGTTGCACGTGCACGATCCGTATTATGTGCTGTGATCGCTTGGAGGAGAAATGATGCACCTTTTATCACGCGATTGTGAAGTAGTTGATTTATTCGCCATGCGTGTACCCACGGGTTGGCCAGTGCATGGCCCAGCAAGATTCGATTCTGGCCTTGCACCTGCACCACAAGGAATCCAATCTATCCAAGAACTAAGGATACCCCCAACTTATATTAGTTTCCAGAAGATACCCCGGTGAGTTTGGCATTAACGGAGGGAAAAGATCAACCGGCCAGCGGCCAATAAACGTCAGAGTCAAGCAACGGGTGCTGCATTATTTGTGGGCCCTTATAAAAACACCGATTCTCCCTCTCGCTGTGTTGACACGCTGGGTGTCGCATGTCATTCCCACGTGAAGAAGTTTGTAACAGTTGCGGTCCGTTTTTGCTGTCAAGGAAGGGCCTAAATGTTTAACGTTTAGATCACTGGGTTATTTTGCCTCCGGGTTGATGATGCGAAAATAGATATACATTGTAACCATCAGAGTGTGACCATTAATCAAATGACACGAAATCTCATGGCCTTCACTAGTATACGTGTACATGAAGAAGGCGCCTGTTTATAATAACTAAAAACTTGCCTTGTACGGTGCTTGTTCAGTTCTTGACATTTACGACCATTTCCGTAGGCTTCCTTTCTTGTGGTTTCGTGATCCGACTGGCACTTTCCTTGCTGCAAATAGATGTTCACGGAATGCTTTAGTTGGTTACTCCACAAGGAAATGACGAATAAGTAACCGTTAATTCTCGTAATGATTGACTGCAGTTTCCAAACACAGACTGCAAGATTGGCTTACAATTTATTGATAGTACATTTTCAAGATTGATTTGTATAGATGCCTCGGTGGGATGAGCAAACTGGGGGAGTCACGGGGGGTCATACCCCTCAAAAAGGAGCTCTCCTTCTCAAAAGTGAGTACAATCACCAATTGTAGCCCCATCCCTCAGAAATGACATAAAGGGTCACGTGAAAAAATTTAAGTTTTTCTCCCCAAACAGTTCCTCACCCACCCTGAGAATTTGGTTCCGGATCCTCCTTTAGGGATAAACTTCAAAACGTGTAGGTTTAAGCTTTTGAACATAAAAGCTTCTGAAGAAGCACACTCACTTAACATGGACTCAACTTTTCTCTCAAAACCACATAACTTACAAAGGAACCCTACATTATGTTACTGCAAACTTTATGGTTAATTGATTCTCGTCCATACAAACTGCCATTAATAAATATTGAAGGACTGAACTTGAGGACTTCCTATAGGGTCTATACAATCCATGTTTACAGAATCCTCCAAATTTCGTAACGTTGTTTAAATCTCAAAGTTGCCAAATTTGATGCCAAAAAAAAATCAAAATTTAAAAATATTAAAAATTGAACCATGAAAATTGTTTTAAGGAATGTTATTTTTTCTTTTCCACGGAATCGTATTTACTAAGAGTAGTTTGAAATTGCGACTGCTCAGTGATATTATCCATCATCTGTCAGACATAACGAGCTTTACTGAATTCTGACCCACATCATTGGAATTGATAATCATTTCAAACATAACCAAATTATCCAAGTCGTCTTTCTGACTTCACATTATTTAGTGAGTTTTTAATCAAATAAAAAAAGAAACTATAGAAACAAACATGTTATAAATTTTTTACCCCGTACTTCTTGTTAATTTAAAGAAAATCTCAAGCTATTCTAAAGCTTGGTAACAATGTTTCGTGTTATATAATTCACGCACACGAATTAAAAGTCATGGAGATTCAGGAAAAAGGACGTGGAAACTAGCTTTTGTCCCGATGTGCGATCTGCCCGAGAGATATTTTATTGTAATGTATTTGTTTTTTGGACCGGTTCTTACTTTATTCCAAATATAGTCCAATCATATTATTGGCTATGAATTATTCCGCATATTATTTTTCATTCGCGCTCAAAGCCGTCCAAGCGAGATTAATAACACAAGCTGTGTACAAACACCAACAGCGATTGCACACGCCCGACTGGACAGCGCACGGCTCATCGATGTACTAACTCCAACCTCAGCCGGGATGGAGAAATGTGTCCCCCATTCCTAAGATATTAAATACATAAATGCAAACACCAGCGCCATTGATTTTTCTCTCCTCCAACCCCGGCGCCCGGCACTTTCGCCCGTAATTGAATGAAACCCAATAATTTATCAGCAGAGAGAACCACTTTCCGTTGCGGAACCCTAGCTCTGCCGCCATCGCTAGCCGTCGATATAGAAGAGAAAGGATCGGAATATTGCTGCAGTCTTGGCGACCCAGATTTCGCCGGGAGGTGTCCCAGTTGGTCGTCAGGGAGCGCGCACGCTCGCGCTCGGTGCACACAGTCACCTACTGACGCGGTTTCGACCGCGGAACAAAAGGAAGGTGAAATTGGAAGGCGGGATACTGGTTTTTCCCCCGAGGGTGTGATGATGTCCATTGCTATGGCAACGTTCGCTTCGTAAAGATGCAGATCTATGCGTCAAGAACATGCATCTGCGCGTGCTGTGCAGATTGCTCGTGTTTATGAAGTGTTTGGTTCACCTCGCAGGCATCTTAGTGCACGGTGTCTCTGATGTCCTTAATGTGCCTTGGTCGAAGGAGAGAGCACTTGGTAATAATTCACATTTAGAGCGACGCGAGGAGATGAATTTTAATGAGTGCCTTCCATGGTTTAGTGGTGACCATTATGATGATATACTTTTTGGATAGGGGTGAAAACGGTGACGACAATGACTTTTATAATGACGATGACAATTTCAATCTTGACGAAGATATCAGTGTAATGGACAGTAGTTAGCAAATACCAGCTACGGAATGGGAACGCCAGACAGGAAATAAACGAAACATGAAGCAAACTGAGAGAAAACTGTTAACAAGGAAGCCGGGACACACGATTTTCTTGCCATTTTCCGTGATTCTCGTTTTTCGAAATTTCCTAACACAATCCTCAATTCATCCTTTATTTTTCTCTGTTTTATTTTTGACAACCTTTCATCTTTAATCGAATGACTTTCTTTCTATACTCGTGCATGATAATGATCAAGGCTTACTATTGAAGATCCTAAGGGCTTTTATGGAGGACAATCCTTTGTGAAATTGTTTTTGGTGTTTTTAAAGTTTCACTTCAAATATTTTTCATAGTCAGAAAAGCAGCTTGTGTTATTGTTTCATATAGACTTTATGGAAAAATATCAGCGAGAGTGTAAAATATTATGTGTGTTTTTTGAGGAAACTGAAGGGAACATGTACAGGTTATAATTAGTATGTGTCGCTTTTTCCTGAATTTCCTGAGAACTGCAGATTTAGAGGGAAAATGTTGATCGTCTCTAACTGCTCTTCCCTCGTGAAAGGCACGCGAGATTCTACTAAACAGTATGAGAAACCGAGAAGTTAATATTATTGGGATACGTTGTTGACAAAAATTTAATACCTCGGCGCTGTTAAGAAAGTATCAAGGAACACAAAAATCAAACGTAGAACATTTGAAACTTTCCTCTCGTGGTTTGCTGCAGTTGAATTATGATGTTCGATTGTGACAGCCTTGTTTTAAAGAGAATCTTGTAACCAATTAAAAACATCGAATTGGTCCAGCAACTTCCAATGCACAGTTTTTTAAGTGGTGGCTTTGCAGAACATGTCTCACAACTTAATTTGAAGAAAGAAAATATGAAAAGTAAGAAGGGAATACTTAACAATGTAATCTATACAAATGAACAGAGTTTATCGGACTATATATGTTGAGATAATTTTGTCCGTTAAAAAAACGCAATGTTGCATAACTATGCGGTTCGGAGTTGTCCATTTATAATTTAGTTATTATGAAACTTTTTTGTATCTTATTAATCCTTAAGATAGACAATTGGAAATATGTAATTCTTCTTGACGAAATTAAGCACGAAAAATCTTCCATGTTTTGTTTTCGTGCATCAGTCAATTTATGTTG